AATTGTATGCCAATAAATTTCCGCGAGATTTATCGCTCCGGCAATTGTCCGGCTGGAATGCATGTGTGGGTGATGTTGTCGCAGGTCGTGAGTGAAATCTGCTCTTTCTCTCTCATGAGTTCACTGAGCCCGAGAAGGTCTTCTTCTGTTGATCTAGTCAACATCTTCAGGAGCTGAAACGTCCGGTGTGTTCTGTTTGCACGGCGATGCCTTTCCCGCGTCATTTTCCACGCTGCAATTGCAGCTGTGAAAAATTCCACAATCGCTGCGGTGACACGCTTTTCTGTGCAATTATTGACTACAATCGATAAACATGTTCGACAAACACGAGCCTCAATTAAAATTCTCGAGATAAACTGCATGCATTTTTCACTGTTGAGGTCTCCAGTCGAAGGGGAGGCGAAAGATCGATTTTTCATTCTCAAAATAGACCATCCAGAGTCACTCCAGTGAGTTCCAACTTCGCAGGAGCGGAAGAAGGATTTGTATGGTAAAAAAGTGTTTCCATACATCATCTTTCTTCCCCCTTTTTCACTGCATACTGTTTTGTAGTCTCAAGTCTCGAGCAAACAGGGCAATTTCTCAACAGACGCACTATTTATAGTTGAAATCCTTCCCGGGAATTTTTATTGTTTATCCAGCGTGATTGTAGATTGATTCGCCGTCTATTTCTGAAGCACTTAGTGGCTTCTTATGGCTCCTCTTTGAGGGAAGTCATTCAAGAATTCATGTGAGATTAAAAGGCTGAAGAGAGGATCAAGTTTGATCTTCGAGGAAGGAAGAGTTGCCTCGTCTCTAGATTGAAGATACACACACACAGTCTGAAGTAAAGTTCAGACATTTGTGACAAAATGCTGGAAATATTAGAATTACTAAGCTTAAATCCTATAAAATAGCTATAAATCAGTGGAAATTTGATCAATTGTTTAATTCTAAATTAGTGAGGAATATAGATTCAATTGGTTCAGCACATAACGTAATATTAAATCTGTGAAACTCTCAAGTCTGCGGAACAAGCGTGCAGGGTGAAATTGAATTGAATAGAAGACTGCTCTTGAGAGCCTCTCTAGAGCGAATGACTTCTCGCGTGTTTGACCACCTGCACAGGCATTGCGACTAATCGGAAGGTGTGTCTGGTCGAGAGTGACTCTCGCGAAGTGATTTGCAGAGGGCAAAAGAAGCAAAAGGGCGCCACAAAGAAGCAGCGAGATTGATATTGAGAAGCTCTGCGGCCTGACTCACCTGTCGCGCTCAGTCACTCCTTTCCAACTATCACGATCTGACCATTACTATTATGACAATGATTCCTCAATTGCACGAGCAGCCTTGAAGTTGGCACGAACGACATTCTTTCGCGCCCAAGGAAAGTTCCTCAGTCATCGATTTTCATTTGACAGAGAATATATTTACGCGTCGAGGCACAGCTTCAGTGATTCAGGCGATGATGTCAAGCTGAATCTGCATAAGCAATTGTTTATGCTGCGGCGTTGGTAAAATAAACACTGAGATGGGCAATGATGTATCCTAAAATTAAGTGTCTGACTCACTCTGTGGTGAATTTTCTCGCACATCGATTTTCGGTCGCTTTGCATTTTCTTCCTTTCAACCCACGCCGCGCTCATTAAATTCCGCATGAGAAAATGATAAGGAATAACAAAGGTGCGGATTGCCGAGGGGTGAAGTGTCGTAGTACACAAGAAAAGGGCGCAAGAAGACAAGAAATGCAAGACTTCTGAAAGGTCGGGGCTTTCAAATAGGAGGAGTTTAACAGTGCCTAAAAAAGCATTTCAAATTACTATTTTATTAGCAGAAGTGAAATAATGCAGATGAGTTAAATAAATATGATTTTAATGCACGTTAATGTAGTTAAGAAAATCGCAACATTATTGGTGCTTACTCACGACTTGAGATATTTTAGTCACGCATTGAATTGAAAGTGAAATGAGTGAAGCAGAGGCAGTTCTTCACCCCTCGGCGCTTCTTCTTCGCGTGACTTTGGCCGCTTTGCTGGGCGGCAGAGTCCTTTTTTCCGCGGGTGGTCTCTTGGGTGGGAAACACGACCGCAGAATCGGGTTTATTTTTCCAATTCCTCCGCATTTCCCAGCAACACGCCTCAGTGATTCGGAAAAGGGCTGTTCTGGCCAACCCAGAACTGGGTTAATTGCAATTTTCCCTGCCTTTCCGCCACACTCAGAGTGCACTGAACTATTAATCGATGGACATGGAGTTTTCCATTTCTTCTAATATCATTAAGATGTGCGCACAGAACAGCCGAAAAATTGTCTCAGCCACACTGGGTGGGTTTTTAATTGCTTTCGGTCTATTTTCGACGGCGAGAGTATCCATCAATTAATCACAATTAAGTGGAGGTCTGCTTTAATGGGATAGAATTTCTCTCTGAAATTTCTGTTAAAGAGAAATTAGGCGATTTTTCAATCATTCGTTTATCGAATGATCGTCAAAAATAAATCACTGCTTTTTTGCTCTCTCTAAACTATATGCAAGGCGTCAAATGATGGTGACAAAAGGCACTAGAAAGAAATTTATGTTTGAAATAACATTACAGGAGTTGCTCTTGTGTAAACATTTCTTCGATTTTATTGGTCTCCATAAACAATCTGTGTGACGCCTTCGAGACCCGGCTTCGGGAACATCTGCAATTACAGCTTAATGGCACTTCTTTCAGTCACGAAATAATTCCATCTAATTTTTTAATTGACACTCATTGTTCCGTTGGGTGGAGAAAAGTGCGAGGGCGAGAGACAAATGATTCTGCTTTATTGCATAGGAATGATGAGTAATCATTCTTACTTCTCGTTTTATTATTTTCCAGGTGAGAAACTATGGGAAGAAAGTAATGATCTCTGGGAATGAGGGAGTGTGAAGAAAAGCGAATGTGGGTTAAGTCAACACATGGCGCAGTTTGTTGATTCAGCCATGAGGCCATCAAATGGGAAATTCGATCGGGCAGTTTTCCTCAATTGCTCTCAAAAGTGCGCAACTGTCCTTGACCCACCCCATCTTGCGAGATTAATGGCCAGTAAAGGGAATTAACGATGCGCTCGACGCCAGTCCCTTTCAATGCCTTCACGGTTAATCTGGTGGTCAGACGGCGTGCACTGGGTTAAGTCAATAGACGCCCACGATAGTGGAAAGTGATATTGAGCAAATGGAGAGATTCAATCACTTTCCAAGAGTGAGTCACAACTAATAATACTTCCCTCGACTATCGCTCCTCACCGTTTCCTAAAGTGCCTGTCGAGATTAGGCATTCCTCTCGCCAGACTTTCTCACAGACTTCATCAAATAAAGAGGTCAAGTTCAGAGAGTCAGAGAGAGAAAAATCGAGTGGGTGGCGCCGGACAGGGTTAAGAGGTTGAGGTGATCTGTTGAGGGAAACACCCAGTAATTCATCACACCAAAGTGTGTGAGCTCAGTTCGAAAGAATTCAATTGAATGTCATTTATTCTCCCAGCGAAATCTACTCAATGTGCTGTTGAATCCAGGGGCGATGATAAGAGACTCTGTCATAGCCATCAGGGAATCCTCTGGCGCACGGAACACCCCAGGAGACGATGCCAATAAGGGTGTTGCCGAGAGTAAGTGGTCCACCGGAGTCGGCAGAGCACACTCCCTGGCCCTCAACGCCTCCGGCGCAGATCTTGTGGTCGAACACCATGTCTCCGCTGCCGCCCAGAGCAGTTCTACACGCGGGATTGTCCCATGTCTGCACTTGCACGAACTGCAGATTGGCTGCCAGGCTTCCAGGAGAGGAAGTAAGACCCCATCCGGACACCGTCGCCGTCGATCCGCCTCCGACATGCACAGATCCAAGAGCAAGAGGCTGAATGACATTGTTGAAGGTGATAACGTTGGCTGTCTGCAGCACAGACACATCCCAGGCAATCGTGGGAGCGTGATAATCAGGGTGATTGATAACTGCGCTCAGGGCGAAGGTAGTTCCTCCAGTTGTCCTGGAGTGAGCGCCCAGGACAACGACTGTGTTCCCTGGAGTGCTATTGATCGTGCAATGAGCCGCTGTGACGATCCAGCGATTGTTGGCCACAGTTCCTCCGCAGAAGTGAGCATTGCCAGTCGTCCTAATGGAAGCTTGATAGGGGAATTGACCAGGAGAAGCTGTGCTTCCGCCAACAATCCGACTTCCAATGTATTCCGTCACTCCTTCTTCATTCCTCAGCTTGTCCACACCGTCAATGAAGCCATGAAGACTGGGAGTTTCCAGGACTTTTCCCAAAGCCAATGTGGCCAGACACACCAGAAGAACAATCTTGAGCATTTTTCACTGGTAGATTTTCACCTAAACTGACCAGAAAACCAAACCGTGGGTCTTTTATACCAAAATTTTATCAGAGTTATCATGAATATTGAGTAATCTAATCTCCTGAGGACTTTCCCTGGCCCGCTTCTTATCGTTTCCGCCAGACAGGTATTTCCAGAGCCACATAATAGGGATTGTGTGGGAGATGTTATCAGATTTTGACCCCTTCTCTGATCTGATAACTTCTGTGTCTCTGAAGACGCTTTAGAGAATGAAGAGACCTTCCCAAAGTGATTGAGACATCGAAAATCGATCAACAATTACAGCTTTGGTAGGAAATGAACCATCTTAATCATCTTGCTTTATTATCTTAGTCACAAAAAATCTAATAACATTGATAAGAGTAAATTTTCCCAAACTCTTTCCCTCATCAATCAATTGTACGAATAAATAAAAAAAAATCACAGTATCGGGAAACCCTCAAAATAATCCTCATTCACTTTACAGAAGTGATATTTGCAACACGTGGGAGATTCAAGAGCAGTAAATCACAGAGAGACTTGCTAAGAGTTTCCACGAGAAATCTCTTAGCAATTAAGAGAGTGAATAGTGCGAATTTTACCAATTGACTGATAAGAATTACTTTTTTAATAACATTTATTTGCACTGTACTATAGAATTGCTGTAACAGAACACTTAAGATTCACTTATAAAAGAGACGTGATTTTATTCTGAAGCTCAGTATTATTTGAGAATTCAAACATGCTGAAGATTGTAATTTTGCTGGTCTTGGCTGTGGGCAGTCAGGGAAGGAGATTGCAAGGACGGATCGTGGGAGGAAACACAGCGACTCCTAGCCAGTTTCCCTACATGGCGTCATGTCGCTTGGCGACAACGAACAAACATTTCTGCGGCGGATCTCTGGTCAACGACAGATGGGTGGTTTCGGCGGCACATTGCTTCGGAGAACGAGGACCCAATGATGTGATTGTGGTTTTGGGAGCTCAGCACAGAGTCAATGGAGGGACACCTCACAGCCTCTCTCAGGTGATCCAGCATCCGCAGTGGAACGAACAGGACATTGCCAACGATGTGGCTGTTCTTCAGACGAAAAATCCTGTCGTTTTCTCAAATCTCATCCAACCTATCGAGTTGGGATCGGTTTTCGTCGCCAGCAAAGTAAGTGCAGTGGCGACTGGGTGGGGATTAACCACCAATGAAGGAGTAGAAGCTGATCAGCTGCAGTATCTCCATATGACGACCATCTCTAATCAGGAGTGCAGCCAGAAATTGCCAGAAATGGGACACTTGGTCTTCGATCACAAGATTTGCGCAAGAGGAGCTCCAGGCTCAGCTACATGTCAGATGGACTCCGGAGGACCTCTGGCCGTGGGAAACACTGTTGTGGGCATCGTCTCTTGGGGACTTGAGTGCACTGGAAGCACTCCGGATGTCTTCGACCGGGTATCTGCCCACAGGACTTGGATCATAAGTAACTTTTAGTCTATTGAATACTTGCAAATCTTTGGAAAACACAGCAGCAACATCACTTTCAACATTCTGATAATTTTAATATATATGAAGAAACTTTAAAGAATAAAGAGACCTTTCCAAAATGATTAAGATATTGAAAATCGATCGGAAATTGTGGCTTAGGAAGCAAATTGAAAAAGGCGCTAATATCGATATTCGAACAGATTTCGATCGGCTTCACCGACGAAAAACTCACAACATTGATAAGAGTAATCTATAAATTTCCCCAAACTCTCATCAATCAATTTTGCAAATGAATAAAAAATCTCAGTATTGGGAAACCCGGGAAACCCTCAAGATAATCCTCATTCACTTTACTACAGAGTGTTTGGCTCAGTAACTCGTGGGAGATTCCATGACAATAAATTATCGTAAGATTTACTAAGGGGTTTCACAAAAATCTCTTAGCAATTAAAAGATTTGTTATTGGGAATATTTTGCCAATTAGCTGATAAGAATCGCTTATAAAAGAGGCACAATTTCATTCACAGCCTCAGTGTAACTTGAGTATTCAAACATGCTGAAGTTGGTCATTTTGCTAATCTTGGCTGTGGGCAGTCAGGGGAGGAGTTTGGATAGGTTTATTGTGGGAGGAAACACCGCGTCTCCTGGCCAGTTTCCCTACATGGCGTCATGTCGTTTGGCAGCCACAAACTTCCATTTCTGCGGCGGATCTCTGGTCAACGACAGATGGGTGGTTTCAGCGGCGCATTGCTTCGGCGGACGAGGACCCAATGATGTGATTGTGGTTTTGGGTGCTCAGCACAGAGTCAATGGAGGGACACCTCACAGCCTCTCTCAGGTGATCCAGCATCCGCAGTGGAACACTCAGACCATCGCCAACGATGTGGCTGTTCTGCAGACGGCAAATCCCGTGGTTTTCAGTAATCTCATCCAGCCCATCGAATTGGGATCGGTTTTCGTCGCTGGTGGGGTGAGTGGAGTGGCGACTGGATGGGGATTAACTAGCCACCAGGGCGTAGCAGCTGAACAGCTGCAGTATCTCCACACGGCGACCATCTCGAATCAGGAATGCAGCCAAAGACTTCCGGGCATGGGACACTTGGTCTTCGATCACAAAATCTGCGCTGGTGGTATTCAAGGCTCTGGCACTTGTCAGATGGACTCCGGAGGACCTCTGGCTGTAGGAAACACTGTTGTGGGCATCGTCTCTTGGGGACTTGAGTGCGCTGGAGGTACTCCGGATGTCTACGACCGGGTATCTGCTCACAGGACTTGGATCATAAGTAACTTTTAGTCTATTGAATAAAATATTTATTAATCGTTCAAATCAGTCACTCAATATGCTGCTGAATCCAGGCACGGTGAGAAGACACTCTGTCATAGCCATCAGGGTAGCCCACAGCACAGGGAATGGCCCAGCAAACAATGCCAATAGCATAATTGCCAATGACTAAAGGTCCTCCAGAATCAGCAGAACACACTCCTTGTCCCTGAACGCCTCCAGCGCAGATCTTGTGATCAAAGACCCACCATTCTCTGTCGCTGCCCAGAATATTTCTGCAGGCCGTATTAGTCCAAGTTTGCACGTGCACAAACTGCAATTCATTCGCAAGGCTACCAGGTGAGGAAGTCATTCCCCATCCGGACACCACTGCAGTGATTCCTCCTCCGATGTGCTCTGAACCAAGAGCAATGGGTTGAATGAGGTTGTTGAAGGCAATTGTAGTTGCAGTTTGAAGAACTGACACATCGAACGCGAGAGAGAAATCATCGAAGTTAGGATGGTTGATCACAGTGCTGAGGGAGAAACTGTTGCCTCCAGTTGTTCTAGAATGCGCTCCTAAAACTACAATTGTGTTTCCGGGAGTGCTGTTGATCGTGCAGTGAGCAGCAGAAATCACCCAGCGACTGTTGGCTATGAATCCTCCGCAGAAATGCCAATTGGCAGTAGTTCTCACAGACGCTTGATAAGGAAATTGTCCAATGGCTGCTGTATTTCCGCCTACAATCCGATTTCCAACGTCTTCTGTGATTCCTTCGCCGCGTTTTAACTTCTCTACACCCTCGACAAAATCACGGAGTTCGGAATTGTCTAGGACTTTTCCCACAGCCACAGTGGCCAGACAAACCAGAAGAACAGTCTTGATCATTTTGAATTGTACTTATTGCACCAAATAACTGATCAAGAAACTCGAAACTGTTGCTCTTTTATACCAAAAGTGTTATCAGAGTTATCATGAATGATGGTACAGAAATATATCTAATCTTCGAATGCCACTTATTCAGATTTACTGCCTTCAAGCCGTAGAGATTAGAAAAAGATTTCATTGAAAGATTCTGCATATCTTATATTTAACCCTTCAATGTAGATTGGCTCCTTAAAGAGTTTCTTATTAAGACAATCATTCGATGTGCTGCTGAATCCAGGTACGATGAGAAGAGACTCTGTCGTATCCGTCAGGATAACCAGTAGCGCAAGGAATAGCCCAACAAACAATTCCGATGGCGTAGTTGCCAATAGTCAGTGGTCCTCCAGAGTCACCAGGGCAAACACCTTGTCCCTGAACGCCTCCAGCGCAAATCTTGTGGTCGAAAACCCACCATTCTCTGTCGCTGCCCAGAATGTTCCTACATGCAGCATTTGTCCACGTCTGAACTTGGACGAATTGTAGCTCAGCTGCAAGGTCTCCAGGTGAGGAAGTCATTCCCCATCCGGACACTACGGCAGTGATTCCTCCTCCGATGTGCTCTGAACCAAGAGCAATGGGTTGAATGAGGTTGTTGAATGCAATTGAAGCTACAGTTTGAAGGACTGAAACGTCGAATTCCAGCGAGAAATCGTCGAATTCAGGATGATTGATAACTGCGCTCAGGGTAAAGGTGGTTCCTCCCGTAAATCTGGAGTGCGCTCCCAAAACTACAATTGTGTTTCCAGGAGTGCTGGTGATCGTACAGTGTGCAGCAGAAACCACCCAGCGACTGTTTGCTATGAATCCTCCGCAAAAGTGAGCGTTGCCTGTCGTCCTAATGGACGCTTGATAAGGAAATTGTCCAATGGCTGCTGTATTTCCTCCCACAATCCGATTTCCACCGTCTTCTGTGACTCCTTCACCGTGTTTTAACTTCTCTACACCCTCGACAAAGTCACGGAGTTCGGAATTGTTCAGAGTCCTTCCCATGGCCATCGTAGCCAAGATTAACAGAAGGCCTATTTTGATCATTTCACTCTATTTGGGTGTATATATTTCAACAGACAAACTGACCAGAAGATTAATCCAATTGGTCTTTTATACCAAAATGTTATCACAAATGTCTTGAATATTCACTAATCTAATCTCCTCACTATGATAAGTAATCCAACAAGCACAATAAAGATTATGCTTGAGATCTGCATGCGAGCGGAGACGTAGCGAAATATTTGCTTGAAATTGCTATCAAATTTCCCCACTTTTCCCTATTGAAAAATATAGTCAATCTTAATTGTTTCCCAATCAAGAAACTCTTCTTCGCATCATTGATTTCTAACAAGGCTCAATTGATCGCGCCAGAGATGCTCTGACCTATTTCGTGCGGGAATATCGTGATATTATGGTAAGAGGAAGGGAATTTCAATGTGAGGCGCCAAAAATAGGCAAAAGAACCTCGCGCGTTAATCAATTGCGAGTGAAAATGAGTCGTTGAACGAATAAATCATCAAGTTTCTGGGCCCTTTTCGCGTGTCAGACTCTCGCCAAATGAGGGGAAGTCCATTGAGAGGATGTAAATCACTCTGGCTAAACACCCTCTGCAATTTGCTAAATTGCCTTCAGAAGAAGGCGCAATTTGGCTGCAAGAAAGTCTTTTTACCTCTCTAAACTGGTTAATAATAATCTTATCACCGACAAAACAAATATGACACAGGGAAACAGGCTATTTTGTCACTTTGCATGCTTTCAGTGTGGCTTAAATGATTAAATAATTAATTAAGAAAGGCCACAAATGCGAAAAAGCCGTTTCGCTTGCGTGCGAAATTGTTTTAAGTGAATGAAGAGCAGCGCGGCAATAAATTAGGCAAATATAATTGAATTTATTTATACCGCCAGACAATCTATCAACAGTGGGAAGAAATATGAGATTTTGCACAAGGTGAAGCTTCTAATTCACTTGAAAGCGTGCGCGCCCCATTTGATGGAATCGATGAGTGAAACACTATTTCAGACATTTCAGAAGTCGATAAATGCGAAGCTTCCCAGAGAATTACAAAGTATTTGTTTGCCAACTCCTCAAAATGCCTCAAATTACCACTTCATGCGTATGGTGTTTACTAAACACTCACGCGTTCAGATTAGTTTTTTTCCAACTACTGAGGGACTGAGTTTAACTTGAGGACTATCTTTAGAGACCTTCTGGGCAGTTAAGATGGAAACTGGATAGTGATTTTCTCAATTTATTATTAATTACTCTCAATGTACTGCAAGAACCAGCTTCTGTGGTAGGAAACTCGGTCGTAGGCATCGGGAAAACCTCTGGCACATGGAATGCCCCAGGAAACGATACCAATCACTGTATTTCCCACAGCCAAAGGACCTCCAGAGTCCGCAGAGCACGCTCCCTGCCCCTGAACTCCTCCGGCGCAAATCTTGTGGTCGAAGATCATGTTCGCATTGCCTCCCATGCGACTCCTGCACTCGTCATTCGTGTGCGTCTGCACATTGAGGAATTGCAGCTCGGCTGCCAGGCTTCCAGGGGAGGAAGTAAGGCCCCATCCGGAGAGCACAGCAGTCACGCCTCCGCCAACGAAGGCAGATCCCATGGGGATTGGCTGGATGGTGTTGGAGAAAGCGACGGGATTCATCGTCCGGATGACGGAGACGTCGAAAGCAATGGTGTTGGCGTTGTACTGAGGATGATTGACTATCTGGGCGATGTCATAGCGAGTGCCGGAGGCCCTGAAGTGTGCGCCCAGGAGAAGGTAGAAATCACTGGCGGGAAACTGTGTGCAATGAGCAGCGCAGAGAAGCCACAGATTGTTGACCAGGACAGCACCGCAGAAGTGCTCTTGAGTCCGCAAGAATCTCAGGGAAGCTTGGTAGGGAAACTGACCAGGAGAGGCAGTGCTTCCGCCCACAACGCGACTGCCAATGCCGGGAGGGAAGACATTGCCAGAGATGAAGTCATGAGGAGTGGGAAAAGCTGCAAAAGAGACAAAATTAACAATCCTCAAAGCTTTAGAAAATTACCAAATCTCACCTTTTCCCAAAGCCACAGCTGCCAAGGATGCAATAAGGAGAATCCTGATCATTTTCTTCGCTTTTATAAGGTTTCTAATTCACTGGCAGAGTCACAGAGTTGTAATGTTTTGCCTTCAACTTGACTGTGTCTTTTATACCGAAATTTTACGGGTTTTACGTGCGATTTTTGGGCGTCAACAGCTCTATCTTATCTTAGGAGTTCCCCATTTCATTGAGGGAATCAGTGGCGGTTATCGGCTACCTTTCATTCAATTTCCCCTCAATCAGATTTTCACTGTATCATTAGTCATATTCGGATCATTGATAAGGATTTTATGGTGAGAATTCCCATCAAACTTTCCACTTTGGCTGGGTTTCCCTCTGAATTTTCCCATTTTATAGGCTTAAGGGCTTTAAAAATGGCAAAATCAGGAGTATAAAAGGCTGCTGCTTTCTTCCACATCTTCAGTTACTACAGAAAAATGCAGAAGATCATCATTTTCGTGACATTTATTCTCGCTGTGCTTGGAGAAGGACTGCCAAGTCCTCAGGATTACATCCTGGCGGTGAGGCAGGCAGAACTTGGGCTTCTTCCAGAGGCTGAGAGTTTTATCATTGGTGGGAACACAGCTTCTCCTGGCCAATTTCCTTACCAAGCTTCCTTGAGAAGCGCAGCAAACGCTCACTTCTGCGGAGGAATTCTGGCTAACAATCGCTGGATCGTCTCAGCTGCTCACTGCACAGTTGGAAGGACCACTGCTAACACTATTACAGTCCTGGGAGCTCACTCCAGGACCACTGGAGGAACTTCCTTCGCCACAGCTCGGATTGTTAACCATCCGCAGTACAACGCCAACACCATTGCTTTCGATGTCTGCGTTGTGCAGACGACAAGCGCAATCGGTTTCACCAATCTTATCCAACCGATCGCGCTCGGATCGGTGTTTGTGGGCGGGGGAGTTCCTGCTGTGGTGTCTGGCTGGGGAGTAACAGCAGTTGGAGGTCCCTTGGCCGCCAATCTACAGTACGTTCACGTGCAGACAATCACGAACGCCGTGTGCAGGAACAGCGTTGCAAACAGTGGACATCTGATCTTCGACCACAAGATCTGCAACGCTGGAATGGTCGGTCGTGGGGCGTGCGCTATGGACTCCGGAGGACCCATGGCAGCCGGAAACTCGGCCATTGGTATCGTTTCCTGGGGCATTGGCTGTGCCAATGGCCATGCTGACGTTTACGATCGTATCTCTTACCACAGAAACTGGATCATAGGACATTTCTAAGAAATTTTTAAATAAACAACCAAAATCTCAGACAATTCTTTTATTAAAAGTTGCTCACAATCCAATTCCTGTGGTCGGAAACTCTTTCATAGAGTTCAGGAAAGGTAGAATGGAAACAGCCTCTACCAAACATAGAACCAATCGCTACAGCTTGGTTAGCCACTATCATCGCTCCTCCTCGCTCCATGATGCATAAATTACCTTCGTCGATGACACTGCAGATCTTATGAGCAGAGAAGAAAAGTCCACTAGGACCCAATCTTACAGCACACTCATTATTTGTAAGAGTAGTGACACGCGTGAACTGGAGTGCGTCAATATCAGTTGCGTATCCAGAAAACAGCGCAGAAACTCCTCCTCCAACAAAGACAGATCCCAAGGTGATCGGTTTAATGTTATTTGTGAAGATAATTTCATCGACAGTTTGCACAAGGGAGACATCATTGTGCAGTACGGTTGAGTCAAAATGGGGATGGACAATAATCCTCAAAATATCGTATTTTGTGCCTCCGGTTGTTCTGGACAGCGCTCCTAGGACAATGAAACTGTTGTCTGCAGATATCCACAGTGTACACTCACCACTTGACACAATCCAGCGATTATTGACCAGGATTCCACCACAGAAGTGACGATTGTTCTCGATGTCTCTCCAGGAAGCGTGATGGGGAAACTGTCCAGAAGCAGCTTCATTTCCAAGCACAGCGATCACAAGTGAGGCGAAAACAACGATTCTCAGCATTTTTGTGGACAAACTGAAGTAATGGCAAACATGTGTGCCTTTTATACCTTCTGCAAATTTCTTGTGATTAAAAATAGCATTTCTTTTCCCAGAATTGATAACTTGCATTCTTCGATAATTTGTTAATTTTCATTCTTTTCCATCGATAACTTATCTGCACTTGAATATCGAATGTTTTACTTCTGCGATGCTTTAAGACGATAAACAAAAACAAAATCGTTATCTCAGTACATAATATACAAATTATCAGGATTATTCCTTTATTAAAAGTTGCTCACAATCCAATTCCTGTGGCTGGAAATCCTGTCAAAGATGTGAGCAAAGTCTCGATGACAACTAGGAATGCCCCAAGAACCTATTGCTATAGCTTGATTTGCTGCTACCATTGCGCCTCCTGATTCTATGATGCACAATCCACCTTGATCAACTAGGTTGTCAACCACGCTGCAAATCTTATGATTGAATATTAAGTGACCTTGTCCGCCAACTCTTTCCGTGCACTCATCGTTTGTAAGAGTAATAACATGGACGAATTGAAGAGTGTTAGCACCGCCTACCCATCCGGAAACTTGGGCAGAAACTCCTCCTCCGACAAAGACAGATCCCAAGGCGATCGGTTGGATAAGATCTGTGAAGATAATTTGATCTGCAGTTTGCACAACCGAGACATCAAAAGCTATGGTGTTCGGGTTATGAGAAGGATGAGTGGCGATCCGCAATGTGTTGTATCTGGTGCCTCCGGTTATTCTGGACAGCGCTCCCAGGACGACTATTGTGTTGTCCACAGTTCTTCCAGCTGTGCAGTGAGCAGCTGAGACGATCCAGCGATTATTGGCCAGAATACCGGCGCAGAAATGTGCGTTTCCTGCACTTCTCAAGGAAGCATGATGTGGAAATTGGCCAGGATCTGCGGTGTTCCCAAGAACAGCAATCACAAGAGCGGAAAAAGTAACGATTCTCAACATTGTTTCAGTAAAACTGAAGAAATGGCGAGATGCGTGTGGCTTTTATACATCTTAGAAAATGCTTAAAGATTTAAGATACCAATTTCTTAGAATTGATAGCATTTATCGCAATCTCTTTTGATTGTTAACACATTTTTATCTCATTCTTACTGTAAGACTACTGAATTTTTTTTTGTCTGAGTTTTATTGTGTATTTTACGGTTGTTTTTGGCGATATAGGAAATTTGAAGTCGAGTAGATAACTAATTATAGAAATTTCCACGACTCAATTGAAGCAGAATGATTCACAGGACTTCTTGTTCATTTTAACTCTGTAGATACGGCAATCTTATTTCAAAGGTCACTCTAGGCGTTTATAGGTTTCATGTGGGAGGAGTATTCCAATGGGAGGGGCTTCAAACAAAGTCAAGTTAACCGTTATCACAATTTATTTAAAAGTGTCCAACAATCCAGTTTCTGTGGCTAGAAACTCTATCGTAGACATCAGCATGGCCATTGGCGCAGCCAATGCCCCAGGAAACGATACCGATAGCCGTGTTTCCGGCTGCCAGAGGGCCTCCGGAGTCTGCAGAGCAAGGTCCGCGTCCCACCATTCCAGCGTTGCAGATCTTGTGGGCGAAGATCAGACCGCCACTGCCTCCAACGTTGTTGCTGCACACGGCGTTCGTGATGGTCTGCACGTTGAGGAACTGCAGGTTGGCGGCCAGAGCGCCTCCTGGGAAGGAAGTGACTCCCCATCCGGACACCACAGCAGTCACGCCTCCGCCGACGAAAGCAGATCCCAGAGCGATTGGCTGGATGGTGTTGGAGAAGCCGATGTTAGCTGTCGTCTGCACGATGGAGACATCATTGGCCAGGGTGTTGCCGTTGTACTGAGGATGATTGACGATCCTGGCGGAGTTGAAGGCAGTACCGCCGGCGGTGCGGGAAACGGCTCCCAGAACGGTGATTGTGTTGGCGAGACTGCGTCCAACTGTGCAATGAGCGGCTGAGACGATCCAGCGATTGTTGGCCAGGATTCCTCCACAGAAGTGAGCGTTTCCGCTGCTCCTCAGTGAAGCTTGGTAGGGAAACTGTCCGGAAGAAGCTGTGCTGCCGCCAATGATGAAGCTCTCAGGACTCTCAGGCACAAGTCCCATCTCAGCCAAGTGCACTCCTGCGACAAAGTCATGAGGAGTGGGCTCACGGGCGAGCACCAGAGCGGCCAGGGAGGCAAGGATGATGAATCTGAACATCTTTCTAATTGTTTCACTACCAGAAAACTGGAACAACTGTGGAGATTTTCGCGAAAAAATACCTCTTTTATACTCCACGTTTGATAAAGACCATTGATTTGCCCATTGATCTCTCGATATCAATGGAATTTCCCGAAATGCTTATCATTTGAGGTATTTTTGGGAATTTCACAAAATCAAAAGTCCATCGTCACGAAGATGGAAATTCTCTCTCGTCTCATGCACTGTAATTATTATGATTTAAGTCACTCCGAGAGGGAAGACTTTCTCATAGCGCGCAAAGAATCTTTACGTGATGCGACTCCATAATGACTTTTCCTCAACACGTGCAAGCCAACGAACGACAAATTTCAATGTAGTGTGACTCCCTAGGTTCAAGATCACTCTCTATGGCCGAGCCCAACCCATTTCTTATTGCTCAGCTCATCGATTTTGGGTGGTGAAGAACCATTGTTGGCGCGAGAAGAATCTTCAGGAAGTGTTTCAGAGTGCCATTGTGCTCCCACGTGCTTCTGGCCTCTTGTGGTCACATAAATTACAGATAAAGGGGCTTTTTGTCTTCAAGAGGGACTCTCGAAGGCACTGAGAGGGAGTTATTGTCCAGAGACTGACCATCTGGGGAGGGAAATGCATTGAAAACAACTCAAGAGGCTGCAAAGTAGAGCACAAGGTTCTTCAGATGCACATTACTTGTGACGTCATGGTGATAGCAATATGAAGCTATAACAGTTAGTATTATGGCAAAGAACTCATGAAAATAAAGTGTACTTTTTCTAATCCATTATATTAACGACCTTCTTATCTTGAATTAAAGAAGCGCATCTAATCAATACACAAGCTTTAGAACTAAGTAATAACTTATTTATCTCAACTTAAGTCATAAACAACAGTATATTCGAGCGCAATTATCATTAGAACAGGTTTTAGATGTTTTCCTACTCAGTTCAGATGAACAGCATTCCCTGCTAAACGATCTAGCGAAGATTGTGACGTCACTGATTCACGGCTGTCGCTCTCCTTTGACCCATGATCTGAAATCTCGTCTCCCACGAGAAACCATCACTCAAAATCTGTTTTTTCACAATTTGTCTATCGCACCATGACGCGTAGAAGAGAGAATAAAATTGTTTACCGCCACTTGTGGCTTGTAAATGAATAAATCAATAAAAGCCCATTGATTTGAGGATACTCTCGGAGAGGTTTTTCGAGCCACACGAGGAAGCCCCTTTTTTTGGGGCTCTCCTGACAGACTAGCTTTTGGCAATAGAGCAAATTAATTGCCCTATAGCGAAGTGTGTTCAAGAGGAAAAAAAGGCAAGAGTCAGTTTTTGATGTATTATTAAATTTAATGATACCTGTGCTTTGCGAACAAAAAGCGTGTGTATAAAAGTTATGAGATGTTGCGTGATTTAGCGTCAGTTGCTCTTGAGACGCGATCAAGTGTGGTTTAGAAAAGTTCCATTCCAAAAACTGTGAAGAGGCAATGAGGATTTTTGTGCTTTTGGCCGTGCTGGCGGGAATCTGTGTCGCCCAGGAGGAGTACCATGAGTGCTCCACGCGGGATTTGCTGGGTGTGGATTGTCCCACTCAGATCAGCCTTCTCAACTGCTGCGACGACTTCTTCAGGTGCCACTGCAATCCGGCCATCAAGGAGCTCAGCAAGAAGGAACGCACGGAGCGCTGCAATGTGCCGTACACGGAATTCTGCGTGAGGGATCCGGTGAAGAATCCGGACAGGTACTTCACCGCCAGCGCCGGAAGGGTCAAGTTCGCCACCAAGCTGTGAAGCAGCACTGCACCCGGACAATCCCCCTCAAAATGTATCCAGCAAGCAATAAAGAGTGATAAATCTGTGGCAGAACAAAGGCATTCCGCATGTTGGGCAACAATTGCGCCGCATACAATTACCAAATTGGATCTTTCGGGATGGCAAATGGGCGCGAAAATGGAGCTGAAAGAAGGTAGCAGTGTGGCCATTGTTGGGCGACAGCCGCGCTTAATTGATGGCTTGTGGATGCAAATGAGGGGATCCAATTGATCATTCTTCGTGTGCCAACACAACAACCAGAGTCGGAGATTGTGTAGATTGAAGATTACGCTATTTGTCTCGATAGGAATTCATCGGAAGCTCATGACTTTGCAAGATTGATGTGTTTGACGATTATTTGCTCTTTCAAATGCGTCTGAGCTCACTGGAACCTGTTGAAATGGGCTTTAGCTAGAGTACTTTAGCGACTATTCTATAAACTACTGATAATTCCAATGAATTGGAAGTGCATTAAGATACGTTTGAATGCATTTCACTTCGTTTTAATCCATTGAACATAGTTACAAATCAGTGTTGTTTCGAAGAAACTCACAATTCAAGACTTTTCATGAACCCGTACAATCTCAAGCTGTACAAATCTTATCTGCAAATTCAACTCTTCTCCTCCTGATCACCATAATTCGACATCGAGTGTTAAACAAGTCAATTACATTGAGAATCCATGCGTCTTAATCCAATTGAATATGGGCGAGGGAATTCATCTTGCCCTCTTGAGCGCAATTCAGGGAGGAAAGATCCCAATTGTTCGCCCTCAGAAGTACATTTTTTCACTCCTTTTCCCGCGACCACACAGTTGAACAACCTCTGGTGAACTATTTAATGCCCTATTGGGAGTCAATTTAATGTCTATTTTCTCCACACAGACACGCTCTCCGGAGATGAAAAGAGTTCTGGAGAGGGTGTGGTTCTGGGAGATTCTTCCACGCTGTGTGACCACTTTGGGCGTGCAGTGAGACAATACCATCGATCAGGGGATCAATTAAAAATCCATGGAATGTAGTGCAATTGATTCGCTCTGCTTGGGATTTCCTAATTGACCCACAGACCTCATGAAGTGCGCGTGAGTGTAAAACTGTCCCGCCCAACGGCCGCTTTTTTGAACATATTGACAGTCGAATCTCTTGTCAAAGTGGAGAGCTTCAAATCGCCCCACTCAACGACAGCGTGGAGCCCATAAAGCTGACTCAATTATCTAAATGTTCTCAAACAATTAAAATGCAATTTTGGACGATGATGGCAATTGAGATGCCGAAAAACATGAGAGATGGTCGTTTTCTCAGCCATAAAAGACACAAAATTTCGATTATGAAACCCACAAAGAAGCCAAGAAGTGGAGAGAGAGAGAGAGAGACTTTTTACCACCGTCACGATTTCAGTCGCAAGTTATTTGTAAGTGATTTTTTCCACACCATCAGAAACACCCGATCAATTGATCGCAATACCAAATTTTTTGCCGCGCGCTCTTCCTGGAGAGTCACTGGTGAAAAACGCGCCCAGCTGTTGACTGAACCATTTTAATTAACGCACCCAGCTCAGTTACAATTGCGCCAATTAAGACTTGACTCTTGCACTCTTGAACCATTTCCCCCGCGGCTTTTCACGAGTCGCCGCCAAGTCTCGAAGCTCTCCATCATCTTAACGGCGCCACTGGACCTTGGGGAGAATCTGGGGCTTCTTGGCCAGGAGCCATGCGGATTGCATCATGGAAAAGTGGACCTTGAGCATTTTTTTTTTGTCTTGACATGACTGCCTTTCGCGGCCAAAGCGTGGCCCACAGAGGGCAAGTAACACATTTATCGACCTCTCTGTGTGCCTGCGTTTCGTTTTCCCTCATTTTCACTCCCGATCAATCGACCACAGAGTGTCAATGAACCCTTTTCAGTACTTTGGCGCTGGGCTCAGAGTTGGTGCGGGAATTCTTAGGCTTTTCATAGATTCAGAATAAAGATGTGTCTTTTTTCTTGTATTGTACTGAATTCAATAAATTTGTTTGTATTGTAAGAAAAGTGAATATTTTGAACCCCTCAATTTTCGTACCCAAATTCCCATTTCACGTCCTTCTGATGAATTTATCATTTATCTATCGCCAGAAAATATAATCAACTCAACTGCTTTGAGTTATTCAATTAAGTCACATTGAATATCAATGAATTCTCTCTTCTTTCTAGGTCTGGCCAAGCCAGCAGACAGCAAGGATCAGAGTCCTGACGATGATGCTTATGTGAACGACGATGGCGATGAGTACAATAACGCCTACGATGGTGAGGAATTCTAGTGCCTCAGCGCCAAGAAATTATTACCCTATTAACCTAAATTGTTCAACATCCAGATGAAGAGAACACGAGTGTGGATAAATCCCTGAACACTGAGTACAACAGCGTGGCTCTTGAGCCTGTCCTGGAACTCCAAGAAACTGAAGTGGAAGTAAAGCCCGGTGAGCAAGCGAGAGTCGTCTGTCGAGCAAAGAATCTCTCAAGTAAGTTTGATGCAACACAACAAAAGTCTTCCTCATGCTAAAGGGATTCAATTTTGCAGAAAGCACCGTCCTTATGTGGTATTTTGGCGACAATCTGGTCTCAATGGGCACAAATTTGCTGTCCTCCAACGACAGGATTCATCTGGATCCCAACAACGTTGCCATTCTCATAATTGACAAAGTGCAGCAATCTGATGAGGGCTATTACACCTGCAAGATCCTCCCTCAGGAGCTCACGATGAAGACCAAATTGACAGTCTCGCGGTGAGTGAAGAAGTTTCAGTTGGAATTTAACTTAGCTTATTGCCCACCTTCAGGCGCTTCTCTTAATTTAAGAGATGTGATCATGTTTTTCGTGCTGTTTCTTTCAGCTCTCCAACTGTGCGGATCCTCGACAATGGGCGTGATGTGAGCGGCGGCAGCATGACGTATCGCGAGGGCGACAAGATCACTCTTCAGTGCCGCCCGAGTGGCAATCCAGAGCCCACAGTCACTTGGTCATCGCAGGGAGTGCGTCTGGAGCGAGTGAACGGCGTGCATGTGGATCAGGGAAAGTTGGTGATCGAGAGGGCGGAACACCATCACGCACGCGTGTACCAATGCTTGGCGGATAACAGCATTGGAAAGCCGGCTCACGAGAGTGTCACCATCAATATTCACTGTAAGGTGCATAAAAGCCTCATTAAGAAGTCTGGGACTAACTGAAGATCTCTTGCAGACACACCCAAAGTCACTGCTCATCACCACGAAGTGAACACAGGCGAGGGATACGACGCGGAGCTATCCTGCAACTTCAAGAGCGATCCCGCCGGTAGGAGCACTTGGCTGCGGGATTTGGCGCCGCTTCCCGAGGGCGGGAAGTACCGCGTCACCCAGGAGGCACACGGGCACCACAATAAGACCACATTGCTGGTGCGGAAGGTGCAGAAGTCCGACCTGGGCATGTATCAGTGCCAAGTGGAGAATAGGCTCGGCAGGGGCGCCTCGAATGTCTCGCTGATCTATGAACCGGAGCCGGCGCACTTTGACGGATATGAGCTGCAAACGGCGCATCTGGTGCTCCTCAACTGGACCGTCCGGAGCGTTCAGCCACTGTCTGAGGTTCTGCTGTACTACCAGAAGAGCAGCGACAAGCAGTGGACGTCCGTGAAGCCGGTGGGACAGAATGAGCACAAGGATCACTCGGGAGTCTGGCTGTGAGTAGATCTGAATAGATTTTAGGCTCCGCCCCTTCGAAAGCTCCGCCCATTTATGTGTGAATTTCTTTCGGAGAGTTCTCAAAATGCATTAGAAACTATCCTGCCTTAGTGGCGTGTTAGTAATTAAATTTTTTTTTTACATATCATATGTCCAAATTTTCTTGATCGATAAAACGGAGCAAAACTTCTGATTCACTGCTAAATTTCGTCTTCAATCTCTTTTTTAGTATTCAGCATCGCGTTCAATTGTCGCCCGGAACGTGGCACGCTCGAGTCAAGTCTAGAAACACCGAAGGATGGTCAAAGTACTCAGAGTCACAGATCATCAATGTTCCCATGAGTGAGTATAAACCGTACGCTAATTCTAAACTATCTGTAGCTAACAATTTTGGATGCACTTTCGCACATTTTCATTATTTTTTACCATATTCGCCCCATCTTCTGGGTGATTATTTTTAGTTTTTACATGATTTTATTGAATATTTTTCAGTCTATACTGACAATGATGATCAACTTTTCGAAAAATTAGGTAAAAAGAACATCCCTGACTTTTTTTTCATCACATTTTTGCACTCCTCTTGTAGTTTTTTTGGACTTTTGTGTGCCATTTCTCATATTTATTGTGTGGTTTTGGGTGCTTTTTCCGTGTTTGATCTGACCTTCTTTACTAAAGGTGTAAATTTCGTATTTTTCCGCAGATTCAACGGAAACGAGTGGCTCTTGGACACTTAACACCGGATTTCCATCCAATTTGGCCACAATTCTCGTGGCTTCTCTGCTTTTCTGTGTTCGATGGACCTAAATTGAGGCCTTTAAATTAGTGTAAAAGAAAAGATTAAAAAAAAACGATAGAGATACCAGAAATACTAAAGGACATTTTATGGACATGAAAGCTTAAGGAATCTTCCTTCTTGCAAAACCTTCTGATAGAAATTGCCATAAAATCCACTTCTTTTTTTTCTATAAATATTATAAAACTATCATTAACTAGACATTTTTAGCGTTAAAGAGCACAAAAAGGATTATTTCTAGGCGCGCCTCTTCTCTAAAAGTCCGTCTCCTTTTCCCATAACTTCCTTTTTATTAAGTGTAAGGCCAAAGTTATTCTTACTACGATAAACATTGTAATTTATTGATATAAAATTGTAGAACATAAAGAATATGGATGAAGCATTACAGTTTTGCCTTTCGAAGAAGGATATTTTCAGATACGAATTGTAAAGACGGAATCAAAAGAATAAAAATAAAACAAGAAAAATTGAGTGCCTAATTGAAAAAGAAAGAGAAATTTTACCACAAGACATATTTTGTGAATGAATTGTACAGAATTAGGATGGAAAAAAGAGACTCTCAGTATTTTTTCTCCTCAAAAGAAAAACAATTTGATAGAGGCAAAATAAAACAGCTAAAGAGATGCAAATCGACAAAATGTACTTTAAAGTGTCATATAATTTAAAGATTGATGAGAGAGAGAGAGTGATATTTTGTAGAGCATTTTACAAGATATTGAAAGGAAAGAAACTCTCTGTATTACGACTATTAAGTTAAGAGATAATTTGTCATAATTTCTTCGCTTGTATTTCATATTTCATGTAATGTAAATATTAGTTTTTAATTCTTTAGTAACACATTCAACGTGTATTTCCGGCTGATAAGAATTTATATTTTCGAAGCGCTATCTTGATAAGAGGCAAAAAGTTTAAAAAAAGAAAATCTTCTCATTAGAAAGACCGCAAACAAAATGATGTAACATGAAAATATTAAGAAATAAAGTGAATAGATAAAAGATCCACGAACAATATCTTGTCCAATCAGCCGAAACTTGGCCAAATCCGCCAGTAATTTATACGCACGTCAGCGCATTCAACGGTTCCTACGCAAGCACAACTGCCAAGAAATCGTGCCGCGAGTTCAATTAATTGCCCATCAGCATGGAAAACTCCGTGCAAACGAGAGCATTCACAGCATTTAGCAACTCCTTGACAATTTAACACGTCGTTAAGGGTGTAAAATTGCCTAAAAATGCATCAAAGTCAAGGATTTACAACCACAAAAATGAATTAAATAATCCAAAAGATTATAATTAATCATATTGTACAAAATACTTAATTGCACACCTCAATTGAAAACTACACTCTTGCCCTTCAACTTGCGCCTAACCTGAGGTTTGCGTGTGAAGAATGAAATGTACTTTCCCACTCTTCAGAGTAAGAAAGCCCAGAACAGCTACAAAGTATAAAAAGGTGAGATTTTGAATGGTCCAGCATCAGTTTTTTGTGAGTCTCACTCGATTCTAAGCTTCTTTCTCAACTCTGTGAAGTGCTTTAGCCAGCAAATCCACTGAAAATGATGTCCTTCAAGTTGTGCTTCCTCGGACTCGTCCTCGTCGGACTGTACGTCTCAGGTGAGAGCGAAGAAACTGTGCTGATTGAAGTGTTTTTGGTGCAAAATTGATGCTTGTGAGCTGAAATCTCTGCAATACAACATTCTTATTTCATTTATTTTTTTACTTTTATCCGCGGATTTATGTATTTTTACAACCTGAAAATTCTTATTTCTTATTGAATTTTACTTTTTAATTGGTTTGAGGATGATTTTTTCACAAGAAATATCTTCACCTTTACTAATTCCTCTTCTTCTTCTGTATTTTTCTCTACAGAAACTTCCGGACAAGCTGGTAAGTTCTTAAAGCTCCGTGAAAATCCTTAAATTTGTGCTAAAACTCATCCCTAATTCACCAACAGCCATCGCTGGTGCCGCTGCCGGAGCTGTGGCTGGAGTGATTCCTGTCGTCCCAGCAGCTCCTGCTGCCCCAGCTGTCCCAGCTGCCGCACCAGCTGTGCCTGCCGTGCCTGCAGCTCCGGCTGCGCCTGGAGTTCCGGCCGCCAATCCCAACCAAGTCCTGGCCATCCTCATTCCTCCCACCTCTGCCGAGAGCAACGAGACTCAGTCTCAGCAGAGCCGCGAGAACACCGGCGGTCAGCTGGTCCTCCTCACCGGATAAATCACCACAGCTTGCAAGAGAGATAATAGCAAATCGTCAGGCGGAATAGTGACAAATTGATCGCGATGTTTCGGAAAAAAACCACTCTGTCTTAATATCAAACCAATGAGCTTAATTTATTGAAAATCACAATCATTGTAAAAACATAAATTCCACTAGAAAATTGCATCAAATGTTAACCAAGATCCTTTCCTATTTATTCCTTTCCCTATTGCTCTTTCCTTCTTTTCTCCTTCCCTCCCTTTCTTGTGAATTTTATGACAAAATTGATAAAGGAATTTCATGCTAATTAGCAATTGTCATCCATTTTTTGTTCTATTATGTACATTAGAGGCTATTTTCACTGCGATTTATTTTCTCTTTATAGCAAAAAATAAATATCTCTAGCATTATATCATTTTGTAGTAAATTTGTCAACTACTCTGCACACATAGGATTACGATTTAGAGGCAACCAAGGATTTCTCAATGAGGTGAAAGTGTGACTAAAGGTGCGCTGATTGTCGTGATTTTATACTCAGTTTATCTGTAGCATTAAGCAAAGGAAAAGATCAATACATTCACTCTACGCCTAAAAAATGTTACTCACCCGTCTTCTTATGTTACGAATTGACGTTAAATTTCATTATGTAGTTAATTTTGACATGAATTTTCTCTACACTTCGTTAATAGTTTGCTTGATCCTTTATGAAAAAACCTTCTGAAAAATTGTCTCACTACATTTTATGGCACAGTTTGCTCAGCTCAAGCCTCAGCCAGCCTCCCAATCATTGTATATTTTGCTCCTTTTGATAGTGTGTCTGTGTGTGTGTTTGTGTGCGCGCGTTTAACTATCTATTATGTGGTAATTATACTTTCATCTGTGTTTTTCATCAACTGTTAATGTTTTAAGATAAACCTCTTAGATATTCTCTCTCTCTCTCTCTCTTTCTCTTGGGGAACATGCGAAAATCACACGCGATCTGCCTTGTTTCTCAACACACTCTCCGCGCGCGACGGAGATTTTGGCCAATGGAAATACTTTTCAGTTAATTTATCCTTACACAACTAAACTTTCTCTCTCTCTCTCTCTAATCCTAGGCTCTCTTATCGAGTTATATGAACAAAATCAACTAAAGATTTGTTAATCTCAGCGAATCTCTTCATGCCATTCGGGCGCCATTGCGATGCAGCCGAATGGCATCGCCGTTGAGGCGTAGTACGCGACTCTCTGGCGGCCGCAGAATGTCGTCGCCGCTCAGGAGATCCGTGCTCACGTCTCCATTTGCTAGCGCTACACGCTCATAACCGTCAATAGGCGCTCCGCTATTCTCCAGGTCCGCCGTGAGGTGAGTATCGACGCCGCTGTCGCTCACGCTCTCGCCCTGAATACTTTCGGCGGGATTGGGCGGCAGGAAAGTCTCCCCGTGGACAATATGGGGCGCCTCGTTGAACTCATCCAGCTCATCCATTCCTGCAAGCAACAGATAAAACTTCTTATTTTCCAAGCAAGGAAACATCATTCAAGAGACTTTGTTAAGCAGAGAACGACTCAACTCACCGGAAAAGTTGCCTGCCAGCAGCAAATACTGTCCCGCTCGGTTTGGCCACAGCAGTCCCGTCATCACACAGAAGGCGAGGCAGTCGGCCGAGTTGGTGATGCCCAGCAGTAGCTTGTAGCGCCACAGGGGGCTCACCTGGAGCGCCACGAGCGCCACAACGGGCAGGTAGATGAACCACACGAGACTCGATGCGCCGAAGTGCAGCAGAAAGTCGAGCTTCTTCGTGGAGTGCTCATAGCGCATGGTGCTCCGCAGCTCCCAGAGGAACCACAGCATCATGCACGAGCGGCACACAAGCACAATCCAGCCCGGCCACGTCTGATACTCGTCAATGTCCGAAATGATGTCCACCTCCGTGCGATTCCACACGTACAGCATGACATTTAGGGCGCAGTATGGAATCCAGATGGTCATGAGGATAATCCAGCCCGTGCGGCTGATCTGCTGGCGAGTCACCGCCCATCCCTTGGCAAGGAGGAGCAGGATCAGCATGAATAGAGTCTGAAAGGCATCGCAGACAGTCAATAGAAGTCTTAACGAATCTTTCATTTTCTGTTAATACCAACCCGACTGAAGATGTCGAAGATCTCTCCGGCCGTGGCGAAGGTCTCATTGCCCACGCCATTCATTGCGAACCTCACCATGTGCACGAGGATGAGGCAGAGACTGGCGAACTCCAACAGCAGACTGGCGGTGAAGAGACGCGTCACGGGATGGCTCTGACGCCGCATCGCGTGCACTTGCATCGGCACGAGCACGAGGTACACCACGAAGAAGATCAGGTACATCTCCAGCGTGTTCTGCCGGTCGAAGGAGAAGTGCAGCGTAAGCGGAATGTAGGCCGACTGGTTGGGATTCCCATTCACCAGGCGGATGTCGTAGCTGATCTCCGGTGCGCGGCTGAGGCCGAACTTGCTGGGATCGAAGTGGTGCCACCGACAAGTGGTCACATTTCTGTAGCACGCCACCAGAGAAACGTACCAGAATCTGCGGAAGGAGTGATATAATCAGAGATAGAGATCTTGCCGTGAAGAATGCTTAAGAACTCAAGACATTCTGTGGGACAAATACGTTTCAATACGTTTTTAAGTATGAGATATTCAAGTAAAAGTTGCTCCGCAAGTTTCATCGTACTTTTCAGATTATTATCAATTGCATCTGGATGCAGAAACTCTTGAAACACTTAACTTTGTACAGAATATTGGCTAAGAATTTGAGCATTAATAAACTCGTTGGAGCAACTTTTCTCAAGAAACACCCGACAAACTTCCCGTAAAATGAGAATTTTCAAGAAGTTTGGATTTCCAAAGAGAAACTTTCTCACAAGAAGTTATTAAACATGCACGCATGAATGGAAATGCAATTCTTCTATAGAGATTTGTCATTTTCTGTGTTTTTCTTCAATCGATTTTTGGCATGGAAATTATTGAAATCAAAAGGCAAAAGTTTGTTTAGTGATGAGAAGCAGAAATTGGCTCATTAAATAGCTAAAAACAGCATAAATATAGTTAATTATTCAAATAAGTGCTGCAATTTTCCACTACACAGCAAACAGCAAAAGAATTTCCTCTTATTTGTCAAGCATTTATTTTCACCAGAAGATCTCTGATAATAAAATTGAGCATTATTTTTTTGATTGAGTCCAAATATGCTTTGTGCAAATTAATTATAATTCTAATGAAAGTTTATTTAGTTTCCATTCTGTTTTATCTCTGCCAACTTTTAGAATAAATGTGTTTCATAACTTTTCAGATATTTTCTCACTACGAATTCTTCAAGAATTCTTCAAGAATTCTATTCAATTGACTATCTCTAGTCTGGTCAATATGAAATTGGATAAAACTATGCATAAAATATTCACAATTTGCATAAATGTGACTTCTAAAGAAGCCTTGCTTCTCCTATTTTCTCCTGATGTTTCTAAACTCTGTATCGAATTCCAGAATTCTCTCTCAAGCATTCTTTTGCAGAAACCGAGGCAGATTCCTGAGCATCTTCGCGCACATTTCACGTTCTTAACTTATTCAACAAACCGAAGAAATGCTAAAAATGCAACCAGAAGCCCAAAAGGCGAGTCCGAGAAAGGTAAAATGTTATGAAATTGTGTCATTTATTAAACACACACACTTTAAAATTCAGTGGATTCTTCAGTTTCACCTTCCTTTGCATTATTTACCAAACAATTTAATGTTTTATTTATTTACCACAGCAGAGGAAAAAACAGCACAATCTTTTCCATCCATTTCTGCATGCTTTTTTTCCACACAGTGTGCAAGAGAGATGCTCTTCAATGTGCTTCTGCACTTTGCGCTGCAATTTCTTAATGTAAAATTATTGTGGAACTATTTCATTAAGCAATTTGCCGGCGTCTTGGCGGGAATTTTTACGCCACTTTCGCTGGAATGCGTTGTGTGAAATGCAGAATTGTGCCACTCTTCAGACATTCATTTTATCTCGAGGGGGGCCGTATAAATACCACTGGATGTGCGAGGGTGGACGATAAAAGGAGAAATTTACGTAATTTCAAGGTTCTCTGCACTTTGCCTAGTGGAAGTGACGATGAATATTCAATACAATCGAAATGCAATGGAAACCAGACACTTGAAAGGCACTCTCTTGTCCATTCCGCCTACCAATTGACTCCCATTTAATTAGCATGAGTCAGAGAAGCTGGATTGGGGCCAAATACGATGCCCTTCCGACCTCCTGGTACTCTTTGCACAGTCAGGAAGTGCACTTTTGCGCTCCAATGCGCCACAGTGAGGCCTTAAGTCGTGCTTCTGAATGGCATAATTTCTCAACAACGCCACGTTCTTATCTCTGCCTTTCGGTTCTCGATTGTCCGAGTGGAAGACGGAAGACCCAGAGAAGGCGGGCGTGATAAGAGAGTCATAATAGAATTCTCTTATCTCGCGCAGGTTGTTTTGAAAACTCCGTGCGTGCGGATTTACTCTTCTCTGCCTTTAACGCTCCATTGCCAATTAAACCGCCCACAAGGGAGTTATCAGAGCGGAATACTTTCTTTTCACCACTCTGCGCCACATGCAACAATGCCCAGAGGTTGTGGAGGGAATTGTGGCCAAAAATGTCGCGCCCAGGAAGACAATCCGAGGGAAAATTCCGCGCTCAATCAATCAAATCCATCGCAAAACTGCTCTAATTAATGACATTAAAGCGCGAGTGAGCGGCAGGTGAAAGTCTCTCTTACCTCGGTTGGATGAGGTCACTGATGACGTAGGTGAACTGGCTTCCGGACACCACATTCCCTGGCGAGTCCTCGTCCCAGCAGAGGCGCCCGCGCGGGCAGGGCACCTGGCGCAAATAGTCCACCTTCGCCCTGGAGTTGCACTCGGCATTGTAGGCGATCTTGTCCAGGCTGGCGAACATCCGTTGGCACGCTGCCTCGCGATCCAGCAGCGTCCGATTGCCGTAGAAGCTGTCCAGGAAGGAGAACTTGTCCAGGACGGCCAGTGTCACGTTGACTGGATACGCCGTTCTGGCGGTGATGTTGCCATATATGTACCCATATGAGTCCCTCTGCGAGTGGCGCTCTGTCTTCTGGAAGCCGAATTTGATGAGGAACTTGAAGAAATCCCGCGACGGCTCGAAACTCCCCGTCAAGTGGGTGGCATTGGTCAGGAGGATGAGCGGCAGCAGGGCGCACAGTCCCAACACCGTCCTCCACAATCCACGCATTGTCTCTCACTCTTGCTCAGCACAGTCACTCATCACACTCCCGTGGGCTTTTCCAGCATTTTTCCAGTCCCTTTTCTTTTGCCACTCTCTCTCTTTCTCAGCTTCGCGAAAAACAAACTCGCCACGAAGCTGTCTGTCGCACTGACAGCAGCTGTCACGACTTCGCCCCGCTTCGCCGCGAATCGGGTCGCGCCAAAAACTCTCCCGCGCCGTTTTCCATCCCACCGCGGATTTTTCCACCCACCGCCAATGTCCATCTATCCGCGTCACTGTGGCGTGTCTCCGCGGGTGAAATTTAATCCACTCTCGCTGCAATTCAATCCATTGTGCAATTTAATGGCGCGCGAATGCACCAAAGCCAAGCCCTTTTATTGCGCTTTTCCACACGTGCAAAATCACCATCCGCACCCTTATTTTCCCCTGGCCTTCCCTCGCACAATTACCACTAAGAGCCAAGGGGGGACTTTTCGCAAAAGTGGGCCAATGAGAAAGGCTTAATCGATGAGAAAAGTGAAAATTCACCTGAAAAATTGGACAAATCTGTCCACTTGTGCTTCCTTGCTTTAGTTACACTGCTGAAAATCAATGGGGATAATAAATCTCAGAATCTCTTGGGAATTATTCGAGTAGGTTTAAAGCTATTTCAGGACATGGTGGATGTTTATTCAAAGTTTCTGAATATATTTGAGCATTCTATCACTTCTTTAACCATTAGACATGCTATTTTCGATTAAATACCTGCAGAAACAAGTAGCTAAAAGCATTTTTTGATGATAAAATAACAATGTGGAAAAGAATTAGAGAATTTTCGCATTTACATTAACCGTGTAGCGGAAAATCTCATGATAAGACTATATTTTCCATGCAAAAATACCTGAGATCACCTTCTAACTTCTTTTTTATCGTATTTAATCCCATTTGCATTGGGTGCTTGTTTTCCTCTCATGTTCTGCAACTTATCTCCTAATTATGCTAGGAAGATTTCCCGCCAAAATCCCACCCGCGCGGCAATTCATCAAGGAGTGTGACTTGGCAAGGTTGTCTCAGGTCACTTCTGTCGCGCGCTATCTCACGCCCAAATCTTCTCAGTCGCGAGCCTAGTAATTAGATCAGGCCGAGAAAGTGAAAAATCAATGGCAAATAAACCCCTTTTCAAGCCTCTCGTGGCCAAAATATTTGTAAACTCCGCATAAAGGATTTGATAAATATGCGCGTCGCGGAGTCAATTAAGGGGTGCTTTTATGCGTGGAGAAATGTCTTGATTGCCCTGGTAATTAAAGCCGATTTGGTGACGAGGCACTTTCTTTGGTGGTGCATTTGCGTGGGGTGGCTGTTTTTGGCGGGAAAATCGATTTGCCAAGAGCAAGGCATGCGAGATGAAAGGGTAAAACACGCGCGAAAATGTCAACAGGAAAAGCCACAAACATGCTCAATTTGTGCCTCCGGCTTTTTTGCCCGCCGTCACACCATTTTCGCCAAATGCAACTCTCACGAGTCGCTATTTTCATCCATTTCTATATCCGTGCCTCCGTGCCAAAATCGATTGTGTGTTTAGAATGCGTAACGCCGGATCGAACAAATGAGGAGTCATGGGAAAAATTCTCCCATTTCATGCCCCATAACTTGACTTTCTTCGCTATGCACAAAGGCGAAGGGTGGTTTTCTTGAGTGGAAACTTGCCATCGAATGGAGGTCAGTCGGTGAGGCTTTTGACCCTTTCTCAAGTGGGCGCGCGAAAGAAAGGCGAGCGAGCTGAGCGTGGAAAAACCTTCGCCGAAGCCTCGAAAATCCCGGAAATGTCTCGAAGGGGTTCTTTTTCCCGTCAAGGCGAAAGTCTGGGTGTTGGAAAGCACAGCTGAAAATTGAGCTATAAATTCTTGTGGTGTCTCTCTTCCAGAGATTGGGTGAAAAAGAAGTTTTCTTGCGAGGAAATCTGGAATCATTTTAGAATATTCTTGCGATCAAAAGATTTTTCAATGATTAGCATAGAGTTGACGTAATAGATAGGAAAGTAATTGATAGATTAGAGATTATGATGTAATAATGCATAAATAGTTAAATGAAACGAATTATTCGCCAGTTCAGAAACATTTTCCTAATTATTCAATTGCTTTTTATTAAAGATTTTCAATGTGATATAAAAACAATCTTTTAGGATGTTGTAATTGTCTGTCTGATTAACGGTGAGATTTTCCTACAGACAAACTAAATATGTAGAATAGAAGTACTTGGATTAAAAGATAAGATTTATTTCCACTTCAATCATTATCTGGATTTCTTCTTAACTCTAACACCAAAAGCGTCATTGGAATGCTTTCGCTGTCAAAATTTCCTCTAAGACCCAAAAAATTCATGTAAATTTCATCGGTGGTGCTCTCGAAAGACCCCAAAGAGAGCACCTCTCACTCTCGCCTTGGGCAACTTGGGGAAGAGGCGCCCCAAAACTGGGTTGCATGATTGCCAAAGTGAATGGCAAATCGAATGGCGTTAAATAAATGGTGATGAAATTAATTGGAGTGGATTCTAAATCACCTGCAAATGTTCGTGCGATGGAGTGAAAATTAATTACACATTTTCTTGCGCCCCTCGAAAGGGGGTGGACAATGGGGTCACCCTTTGATGGTGTTTCAATTGACACTGCCCGTAAATTGGCGCTGAAATTTCCTCTAAGGTGTCTCAGGAGGTCACAAGCGGTGGCGATTTATACACTGGACGCGAAGGCGGGGGCGCGCGCCAAGATTCTCCCCCTTTTTCACGCCAACAGGTTCAACTCGCGCGCGCTCTGGTCAAGTGGAGACGCCGCATTTGCTTCAGTCTCACTCCGTCTCCCGAGCTCTCAACAGCCACGGAAGAGCTCTTCCTCTGCGCGATCGTCTGGCCGGAGAAAAGTGAAGTTGCACCCCCTTTTAACCACTCGCGGTGAGCTGAGAATCCCTTATATTTGTCACTCACTCTTCACTCAGATCTTCACGCGTGTGAATTTCCGCCCGAAAGCTCTGGGTGTGAAAGCGCTCAGGGGAGCCTTTTCCAGGACACTCTCGGCGTCTCTGCTGGCGGTTTGGGGAGCGTGAGTGGCGCGAAAAGTGTGTGGGTGGACAAAAAGTGGGCCGAATGAAAATATTTATCGCTCGTCTAATGTTGGATTTTCACCCTCCGCCCAGCTTTATTTTGTGTTAGCAATTAATGGTGAAATTGTTAATCTTTAGTGTGGAGTGCGTGTGGTGAAGAGCTAAGGACAGAGGAAAGATGGATTTTCCCAAGTGAGGAGCTTCCAAAGGCAGTCTTCAGAATTTGGGATTTCAAATTTAGTCGAAAATCCCTAAAAAATGGGCGGGATTTTGAAGTGAGCGGGACTTTTTTAGATTCCTCTTTGACATTACCAAGATTTTGATCTCTTTAACAAGCTTATTGGTTGAGAGCAATGCTCCTGAACGGAGTTCAAGTTGAGAGACCCAGAAAGGGGTCACGAGAGAAGATTCTTTCCTTGCATGATACTAATTATCAGCAGAATCGGGTGCGTTAAACCCTTCGGGAACGGAATCACGACAGCTCTAATTAATCTCTAGGGGTGAATCTGGCTAGAGTGCAATTAGAGCTTGTTGACTCTCGCCTAGAGTGCTATTTACATCGCCACGCGTGGGCGGCAAACAGAGTATGTTGGACGCAATTAGAGCCACGAAAGAGTGCAATCACTGCTGAGGGCTTTGTGATATGGGCAACAATATGAAGAAAATCAATTAAACTCATCTCTAAAACTCTCTCCTCTTAATCTCTGCGCGCGGATTCCAATGTGATCACACTTGTTTTCATCGCCACTGAGACACTCGGTGAGCAGTGATGATTCCCGTTCTTCAGCGACTCCGAAAGTCACTGGCATGGAACCCATCAGCACTCATCTGAGCTCACGATACGCGGTGCAGTTTCGAGGAGTTTTATTCTCTTGCGAAAAACCCGTAAAAGTGGGTGAAGTGGCTTTTCTTTCACTCTAATTGCTCATGTCTGATGAAATCAAGTGAGATTTGTGCAATTTTTTTTTCTTCTTCTTCTCCTCGTCATGAACACAGCCTGGAAAGCTGCTAATCTGTGAAGAGTGTCAGCTTTTTTCCTCTCTTTATTTATATTATAATGGAAAAAAAATGCGAGTGTTCTTCACTTTCGGACCATTGAAAAGTCCGCTTGTTAATCAGAAAATCTTCCCGTTTTCGCGCATATAAATAATTCTTCACGGTAACGCACGTGTTTACAGTGAATGTTTACATGAAGCGTAATTATATCAAGAGATTTCCTCTCGATAGACTGATACTTTCGCATACTCAATCTTCAAACGTAGTTATAATTAACTCGGAAAGTGAAAATTGGAGAATTTGTGTTTATCCTCTTCGGAGATCTTCAAGGAATTGCACACAACTAATCAACCTGGCTAGGTGAAGACTTTCACACAATTTCTCATCCCAAAAAGTGTGCCGAAATTTACGAAGCGCAACTTAATTGTTTGTCACTGGACAATAATATGAAGGTTCATTAATCATTTCAGCGATCATTGCATGGCCAGTCAATAAATCTCGAACCGCACTCAATTGCACAAATAATAGTGATTTCTCTCCCGCTGGTGAAAATTCGCGTAAAGTGCATTTTTCCGTGTAATTCTTTCCGACTCACCTCAGTGGCCGCGCACCACCGAATGCCCGGTGACCACTTGCTGCCCGTCTCTTCCCCGAAGCTCTGGGGCATTTGCATTGCAAATTAGCGCCCCGAATGCAACCACCGCCGCTGTCTGACGCTCTTGGACGCTCTGTTTTCTCCTTGGAGGCGTCCACTTGCAATCAATAAGACCCCGGAATTGAACTCTGCACCCTTCGCCATGGGTCAAGTGACGCTCCATCGAGCTTTCAGTGCTCATTTCTGCCCTTTTCACGGCCCGAAAGTGCAAATAAGCTGAGTGTTTCAGTGACAAAAGCCAGATCAAGCGACGAGGAGAGCTTAGAAGAGTGATAAAAACTAGAACCGAGCAATGGTTTTGCCCAGATTTAAGAGTCTCTGGTCGGAAAGCATCAATTTTCAGTGATTTATGGCAGTGGAGACGCCTGGTTGTGAGAGCTTTCAGTGAAAATAAAGAAGAAAGAGTGTTCAAATTTATACCCAAAATGCCGAAATTGCATTCTTATAAAGAAAGAATATTTGAGGCAATTACTAAAGTAATCCTAACATGATTTCGTTGCATTTACAAGTCGCTTCTTTAGAAAATGTTAATATTTCCAAAGTTAATTGAAAAAGAGAAGTTTTTCAAGCAGATGTTATCGGTTAATCCAATTCCAGAGTGAAAATCTGAGTGAAATTTCCCGCCTTCCTGCCCCAAAAACCCCGTGATTTATCGTTTTCGTCCCACTCAGAGCGCCACGGGGTCCCCCGAACGTGAGAATGGGGCGCAGAGGCGACTGACTGACTCGCGAGACCATGAGACACGGTGACACAATTGAACTGAAAACAGTGTGTGAAAATGCGATCCCGGTACGACTTCTACTACGCCCTGTCGCCGCCATCGACCGCCTCCAACTACTATGACAATCACGGCGGGAGTCTGTTTGGGGACCCGGTGCCGCCGCCGCCGGCGGGCTTCCTGGAGAACTTGGACAGCTACTTGTACGGCAACTTGAGACGCGGCTCGAGCGCCATGGCGAGCTTCGGCGACCACCAGCTCTCCGAGTTCTCCGCCAGCGACTTCCGCCGCGCCTCAGCGTCGAATCTCACAGAGTCTGAGATTGCCAGCGATGTGCAGGAGCGTCCGGGGCACCAGCAAACATCCTCTTCCTCTTCGGATCACCTATTCGGGTGAGTCTTTCTCCGGTTGTAAAGCGCGCGCACACATACACATTTGAGTATGGGTCATAAAGGGTAGAAAGCGTGGGCAGTAAAGTGCACGGCATCCCTAATGAGTTTCCCACCGACAGGCAATCAACTGGGAGGCCAGCTGAGGGCATTCGATCACCCACTGAGTGGCTCAGTTACAAGACCGCCGCCGAGGAGTGGAGGAGCTCCTTTCCACGCGTTCAGAGTGCCCGGAATGTGTCCGAAGTCAACCACGGAAGCGCTATGACTGCCCTCATCCTCCCGGACACCACGTCCTCCTCCAGCGGAGCCGCCACACATGTCGAGAACACTCCAGAGCCCCACAGAGTGGAGTTCCCCAGCATCCCAGACACCCAAGTGGCCTCTGCCACCAGCAGTGACAATGATGCCCAGGAGGTGGAGAAGGAGCCCGAAGTGCCTCCTGAACGCACAAATGGAGTGGTTTCACCCTCTCCAGCAATCATCACGGACAAAATCACTACAGGGCCCTACAGGTAACTCCTAATCATCCCCGCAATCATCCAGAAATTAACTCTCTTCTCTTCCAGAATCCCAGCCACTCGAAGCGGCACCAAGAGATCAGCTTTCGCTATCATTACCCAACTTTCACCCAACATTTCGCGCCCAGAGAGTCCAGATGGACCGCTCTCAGGGCGATTCTCACCATTCAGAGGCCACGGCTTCCGGGACGCAAGCACCCGCTCATCTTCTCGCCAGGACTCGCCCAAATCCAAGTCCCTGGAGAATTTCCTTCAACCGCAAAGCATTTATGGCAGTCGGAGGCCCAGCTTCGACATTCTCGAATCACTGCCACGCGAAATGGAGAGCTACCAAATCTCCACAGACGTTCGTCACAAGACGATGATACAGATTGCCTCACCGGGTTCGGCAACACCTCGCCCGCGCTTCCTCAATCGCAGCTACGAAGCTCTGGACAGAGCGCCAAGAGCTCGCTCAGGATTGTCGGCTTCTGAGTCAATTAGACACCTTGACAGACCTATTCTGCGACGCAGGAGCTCATCGGGAAGCTCCACGAGACTGCCGGTGAGATCCAGGAGTTCCCTGCAGAGAGGTGTGGTGCGCGTGATGAGCCAGAGTGGAATGGGATCTCCATCGAGAATTCCAAGACCCAGAACATCCATTGGGAGTAGCATAGATGGTCTGGACAGCCGGCGGGAGTCCTCAGTGTCGCCCCAGAGAAGGAAGTCTTCCATTAGGCGATCTGGAAGGCGTCAGAGCGCATCTGTGAGTATTCATCTGTGAGTAGTCATGGACTCCAATATTCAGAGATTTGTCTCTCTTCCAGAGCCTCTTGCCGGCTGTAACACTGCTGGATGCCGAATCCATACCCAGAGAGAGAAGCTCGAGATCCCCAAGACGTCCAGGAGTTCTGAAAGTTACTCCCTTGTCGCCAATTATCGGCACACCCAATAAAGAGCCCGAGACACAGGAGGATTCCAAGGTCATGTCACCTTCGAGGATTCCAGTGCGCTCCAACAGCATTTCCCGGCCCATGGCGCGCTCCAACACGACTCTGGGTGTCTCAACGGCCAGTCACAAGACTCAGGGATCCCCTCTGGCGGCCTCCAGGTAGTAACATCGCTGTAATTATTCAATAACCATTGCTCTGAACATGGCCAGATCATGTTCATCGAGCCATTATTCAACTTGTTGGCGTTTCAGATGGTTAAATCTCACGCTAATATGATGTTTTTTGGAGGGAAAAGCTGTACCTCAATAGCTCTCTACTTCCCAACAGGGACGCCAGTCCGGGGAAAACACCAGCGAAAGCCACATCGCCCAAGAAGGCACAGAAGCCCCCAGTCAAGTGCCACGAGCCCAAGAAGCCAGTGACGAAGAAGCCACCAGTGGACAAGAAGGCTGTGACAAAAACCACCAGGAAGATCGAGACGGTGAGCAAGGTGAGGAAACCCGAAGTGAAGCCCGTGAGTAAGACGCCCAGCTTCCGGAAAGACATTGCAAATGGGACAGTGAAAAAGGAGCCAGCCAGTACCCGCAAGGAACCGTCAATTGCTAAGAAGGAACCTTCCAGCGTGCGCCAGGAAACTTCATCGGCGTCCAAGGACTCCAAGGGCAGGGTCAGTAGGGAGAATTCAGCTTTGTCCAGGACAAGAGTGCCCCCAAAGCTTGAGAAAAAGCAGAGTTTTCGCGCCGAGAAGGCGCCAGCCAAAGTTGTGAGTACTCTAGAGTGACAATTATGCAGGCAGTGGTTAAATAAGCATCGTTTTCATGGCAGATGGAGCAGGAAAGTGTGGAGAGTGAGGAGTCTGTGAAAACTGAGACCTCAGGATCACCCACGAAGTTTGAGAAATTAATTCCACTGACAAAGAACAACGTGGTGTCAATGACAACGGCAGCTATTGCATCTCAACCAGTTCAGATCACCACAACTCTCACCAATCAACTGGCCGCCCCGAAAATCCCCGAAGAGACTGACGTCAAGGACAGCAAGGACATTCATCCGGCGGCAATTCTGGAGAAATCGCAGAAAACTCTAGAAACCATTCAAAAGACAGTGAATGAGGCCACTGAGGAGATTCACAAGACAATCACAGAGAACCTGACGGACCTCAAAACCCTCGAGCAGGACATCCAGAAGGCGGACTGCAAGGAAGAACCGCCAGTCAAGGAGAAGCCACCAATGGCGAAGAAGGAGAGCGCCAGGAAACTGCAAGAAGTGTGTCAGAAGATTGCATCGGAGGCAACAATTGTCGAAAGGATGGCGCAAGAGGGCAGAAAGACGCCCAAAGAGAGCCTCTCGAAGCAACCGAGCTCGCAAACTCTCGCCAAAATCACCATTCCGGAGTCCATCGAAGAAGTTGAAAGCAACAACAATGATCCGCCTAAGGAAATGCCACCAGTGAATGCTGATGTGTCCGTCGTGGAGACGAACAACAACAACCCCGTCACGGAGACTGTGAATAACAATTTGGGGGATGAAGCTAGTGAGGAGAAGGTCAGCGAAAGGGCCATTTCCGCCCTACCCGAGGTGGAACTGGAGAGTGGAAATTTCCAGAAATCGCCAGCTGTTCTTCCAGAAATGGCCCAAGTGAGCCCAGAAACCGCCAAGAGCACGAATGGAAATGGGTGAGTTTTGCAAAAGTTTTTCTTATAATCCACAATTTGAGGTTCAATTGCATCGCGTCTACCACCGTCTTATGACGTCAGCAATCTCAAATACAAAATTTTCACGTCCACTTCTGCTTGAGAAGTGAGTGAAAAAGTTCATGGTTGTTTCCTGATCCGAGTCAAATCCACTTAGAACTTTCCTCAAACTTCCGAAAAGCCTCATGAAGGCCTCATTAGAGTCATAATTGCCCCCAAATGACTGACACTCTCACTCAGTGAAGCCTTCTTCCACCGCCAATCAAGCTTCGTGCAAATTTCAGGCCAATTTTCCCCCCGCAAAAGCTCTTCATTCAACTAGAGTGTGAATCTCACCATTTGGCACACGGCAAATTAATGGATTTTCCTTGCCCAATGACTTGAAGATCTTTTGCAATTGAAGCACCTTTCTTAATCGTTTACATAATCAACACGGCGAACTCTTTAGAGCACACACTTTCTTTGGGCTGTTTTTTCTCTCTTCCTTCTGTGTAAATCAATCTAAACAAAATTTGCTGCCGGGCAGGAAAAAATTCGAGGGTCCGGAAGTGACAAAAGGAGGTCACTTCCGTTCGCCCACGCGTCTGGAAAGTCCTATGATGACTATTTCTGGGTCAAGCCAGAGAGAAGACGCAAGGCTCATTAACCCTTTCATGTGTGTGTGTGTGTGTGTGTGTGGCGGAAAAAAACTTTGCTCTGACTTGTAAAGTAATTAAATTAATGTGTTGGAAAATTGCACATTTTAAAGGAGAGGCCATTTTCATATTCAAAGCACACACACACAGAGCCTTTGAGTTGAGGAGAAGGTTTTCCCCTCGCGGTCAGTCGAGGAAAAACTCTGAGCACGAAATGTAGCGCGAAACTTTTACACAGCAGGAGCTTTTCCTTTTCAGTTTCCACCAAACTTCTCAAGTGTTCGCCTGTGATTTTGATTTTTTTCCCCGTGGCGCGACAAAACTATGTGACACACATTAATTCCTTAAGGCCTCCAAAATCAATCATGAAAGGGTTTGCAAAGTAATTCGCAGTGCGTGTGTGGCTTTGCCTGTAAATACTGACAGCTTTCACAGACCAGATTCTGCATGAGTGCATTGCTTCCGGCTGATGGTAGCAGTAGAAAGACTAGTCCTAAGAGTGTAACATTCACACTGCCTGTCCCAGACACTGATTATGGTGATTCTAGGGTCATTCCTAGGTAATTTCCCCCGCGCCTTCGGCGAGTGCGTCCTCCTCAGAGACTTCTCCTTGGCCAAAAGACCCTCATTTTAATTGCAAAATATCACTTTGTAGCGCGTTTTCGAAACTTCTCCGCAGTGACATTTTTAATTATATCCGAAGGAGAAAGCAGTGAAAATAATGTACGGTCATTTTTCCCTTGGCAAAGCTATGAAAGAGAATCATAAAGTAATTCCACCCCAAATAAAAGGTCCGCGCGCTCGTTATGAATGTTTCGTGTGGCGAAAGTAAATCATATTTCTCAATATATACTCATTTTTTTGCGGTGTAATTAAATAATGTGGATTATTTAGGGATGTATAAAGAAAATAGCTAGACAAATTGGTGGTGTTTTATCATCTATTTTGTATAAAATCAAGATATCTTGATGTTCATTACTGGTGCCAGAAATGGGAGACCAACTGAGAAGCCCCGCGTTATTTTTTGGTTTTATCAAACATTTCGTGAGACACGAAAGGTGGCAAAAAATTGTCTCAGACGTTTTCCAGTAGGTTTTTTTTTGCAGTCTTCAGAAGTCCAATTAAACTCCCTTGAAAAGTCTCTAATTTGCAAATTGGAGGGAATCTCTCTGGAGGAAGACACGACACAGAATGAAGAATGGCTTTTCTAGAGTGTGTAAATATTTAAGCGCGATAACTCACACAAAACTATGCTATGAAATAGGTGAGAAAAATTCCATAAGTTGTGCACACGATCGATTTCGATGAAGCATTTGCATACTGTTGATAATCATGCTCAAGATCTGGACATTAAATGCGAGTCCAGAGAGAGAGAGAGAGAGAGAAAGTTATGGAAATAATATTGTATTGTAGAGTGAAAATGAAGCCTTTTTTCTGCCCTGCCGCCTCGTAGTGTTCTGCATTTGCATTCTCGCCCGATGCCCGCCAACCCTCCGCGGCTCGACCGGGGAGGGCGCGCGCGGGGCGCAATTTAGAATAAACTTTCACGAAACACGCAAGGTCCGTCCACTTGTGTGTGCCGGAGACTTTCATTGAGCAATTAACAATTTCTCGCCACAAAAGCAGCTCATCTGGTGAAGCCGACGAGGCTTCGCTGAAGGAGGGCCCGACGCCAGGTCGCTGCAAATGCTCCACGTGCTGCCTGCCGTGCCGAAGGTGCCTGTGTTGCCGGAAGAAGGACAACGAGCCGCCGCTGCAGCCGCTCAGGGACTCCGTGGAGACCGTGAACGAGAAGTCCTCGCGCTGGAACTGTTGCAAGAGGAAGAAGAAGGACAAGGAAGCCAAGGAAGAAGTGAAGGAAGTGAGTAGCAAGAGAGAATAGCATTCGATTGATTCTTGCTGAATATTTCCAGATTTGAATCTAATTGAGATCTTAGACTGTTTCTGGTTTTCTGGATAATAATTCGAGAAAATATGTACTCTCCACCAGGAAAAGGTCAAGAAGAAGAGGGATAAGAAAGTTGAGGAAGCCGTCAAGAGTGACGAAGACGCGCCAAAGTCCCAGAACTGCTGCCGAGCGTGCCTCAATCGTCTCCTCTGCTGTCGCTCCACCAACAAGATCGAGAGCCAGCGAATGCCTGAGCCAGAGGCGAAGAAGTCCAAATGCTGCTCGTGCTTGCCTTGTCGGCGCGAGCGAAAGAAATCCGACGCCTCCACGGCGTCCACATGGGCTGAACGTCAACCCAGTGACACGCCACTGGAGCCCAAAGCGCCCGGATGCTGCTCTCGCTTCTGGCGCTGTCTCTGCTGCGGCTGCTGTCGCCGGAAGGAGGATGCCGAGAGTCGCCGGACGAGCCTGAACAGTAAGAAGCCCAGCATTGCTCCGCCTCCGGCTGAGGTGAGTTACGTTTCCTTGCCTCCTATCGAGTGCATTTAGTGATTGTTTTCCGGACAATTGTAGAAGCCGAAGCTGGATCTGTCGCTGGTGGAGCACACTTCCCTGATGAAGGCCGCCATTCCGGTGATGCACATCTGTCTGGCGTGGTTCTGCCTCATCTGCAACTGCCTCGTGCCGGGATTGGGCACGGTTTTCTCCGGCTTCTTCTGTCTTTGCCTCGGAACACCACGATTCTCGCAGCATGACGGCTTCAGGGCCAGAATTGGCACATTTCTGATCAACATCATCGTGGGCGCGGCTCAAGCCTTCACGGTTCTCTTCTGCCTCGTGGGCTGGGGATGGTCAATCTGGTGGGGAACCATCATGGTTCGCCTGGCGAGTAAGCTTCCCACAGGGATTCTCAAAAATTTCCAGCGCCCTTTTCAACCCCTTTTTTCGCTCCGCCTCTTTTCCAGGGAAGCGCAAGAAACTGCGAAAGGCGCAGAGAGACGAAGAAGCCGCCGAGGCGGCCACAATCAGCAGTCGCTCCCAAGCTCCAGTTCTTCCCCCAGCCGGCGCCTCTCCGGCCGCCGGCGCCACGGATTCCACCCCAGCTGCCGATCCCTAGACGCGATCCTGCAAGAGCATCGATTTAGGATATTTTTGATATATGAACTAAAAACCACGGGAAACAAGAAAGAAATCATCTTTTTAAGAGCTAAAGAACCTTTTCGCCTTTTTTCGATAAGAGAAAAAATTAGTGTAAAAAATCCTCTTTGTAACTTTTTACCAAGTAGAAGAAAGAAACACTTTTATCACGTTACCAGAAAACTTTTACCCAACAATGAAAAAAAAACCACACCACAAGAAGAGCAGAGAGACGAGAAAGTGAACGGAGTATAGTTGTAAAGAAACATTGTTATAAAATTGGAATAATGGTGCAGTGTTGTTGCTAAGAAAATGGAAAGACAAAATAAAATGTTCTCCAAAAGTAGTTTTTTCTTCTTCATTTTATTTTATTTATTTTTACTGTTGTGAAAATCCTTTATTGTGCTCCTCAGAAGAACTTTATAATTTAATTCATTCGATTGACATCCCTTTTGAAAAGAATTATTGGAAAAAAAAATGAAAAAAAAACGATGAAAATGAGGAGAAAATGATTTCCGGACGGAACTGGATGAGTTTTCAAGGAGAAAAATCTATGAGTAAAAATGAAAATAATAGTGAAAAATAAATAAAACATAAATAAAATATTTATTCTATTGCGTTACACTTTTTTTTCTTTTTTAACCTCCTTGTGTGAAATATGAGGAGAAAAAGTATTCTTTTAAGAGTTTTTTTTTTCATCATAAAACCTTACACAATGAGACAATAAATAGAAATTGCGGGAGAAAAACTATCATCTAAATTTCTCTTCATTATTACCATTAAAATCTAGAGATTGTTCCATGTTTTTATTCCGCTATTTTAATCATTGTTATTTTAGATATCTTTCATTTCTCTTATGTCGTCTTCCCTTCACATTTTTTTTCTTCTCTTGTTATCTTCTAATATAGAAAAGAAGGAAATTAATTAAAAAAAAAATTATTATCTCCTCATTGAATCGCTGTGACAATGACAAAAAGCTTTTCTTCCCGTCGTTATTATTATTAAAACTCCTTATTAAACTTCACGGGAAATTGCATCACAAAATTACACAACAACATATTTTAAGCTCTACCTAATCTCGTGTTTTTTTTTCTCTTCTTCTTGTATAAATTAGAATTCTGCTTCTCTTCTTCCTCGCCACTGAAAGCTCGTGATTGTGAATAAAAGTCTCGAGGAAAGTCGGGAATTGTGTAGAAAGAATTATTCGAATGTATTCTTGAATGATTCGTTGAAAACCCTGTGTTAATAGTTCTTCACTACCAGTCTGAAACTCAATCGACTCGAGAACCTGAAGCCGTAGGCCAAAAACAAACCTCTCAAGAGGGCCAGAAGGAAATCTTTGGTATTGAATTTCTTGACAATTTTGATAAAATAAACCTCAAAGCTTTACCAATAAAATCGCTAAAAAGCCCGGGAAACATTATTTTTTGCTCTCAAATTTCATGGACGAATTTCATCAATATTTTTCCTTCTTTCGCGCGAACACGCGAAAGGCAAAAACCACCGTGAATTCCCATCACTGAATCACACACTTTTCCTTTGGATTGATCTCCACGTGTTCCAGCTTCTTCTCGATCTCATCGTCATCCTCAATTCTGCAAGAGAGAAAGACAGGAAAATGAGTAAAAGACCATCTCTGCTGAGACTTTCAAACTTCTACACTCACGCTTGCTCTTGAGTGTGAAGATTGTGGACGAGTTCATTGCGTTTGTCCACAATGGCAACCAATTCGGCCAGCAGGAGAGTCTCACGCTCGCGCTGCTCCTCGGATTTGCGCCAATCTTCCACCGACAGCGCCGCTCGCAACTCGCGATTCAGCAGTTCGTACTTCTTCTCCAGATTGTTCTCTTGCTCGCTGGAAGAGGGAAGAATTGAGGAAATGACATCTCAATGCTAAGGGATCAATCATTCAATTTGCCAAAAAAACAAAACACTTGGCGAAAAAGATTACAATGAAGATATCAATAAATGAAGAAACATGTCCTAAAATTCATTTTAAATTATCTAAAAATCGCCTTTCACCAGTAGAATATATAAATTTTGAATAATTTAACTTCACGATATTCTTTTTTTCTTTTTTTCCAGACAACAAACAAGTCATATTTTATTAATACTATTTTAAACAGAATATTGATTTAATTCTATATGTTGAAATATTCAAAATCGGATTACATTTTACAAAAATTCTCTTTAATATTTGATGTCTAAGAAAGCTCTTAGCTGATTACCAGAAATCAAATTTTCAAGTTTCCTCTTCACTCTCAACACATCACCATAATGCCAAAGTTCATAGATTGCTACAAACAGTATCTAAAATTTGACCATAACATTATGCTCGGCATCAGAGCATTGAATGCATCAAAAACTGTGACTTGTGTTGGTAGTCTTTATCTTTGCGCATCAACTTTTGCTGCAATTTTCATCGAAAATTCAGGATTCATACTATGGATTTTAAGTGCAATTACATTCATCGATACCGTTCAGTTATCAGTCAGGATTTTCTGCCTTCTTCTGCACTCTCAAGAGCTCAAAGGCATCTTCGAGTGGATTCGAACATTGCACAATGTTCACGAAAACGAATCGATCACAGCTTCAGCTCAAGTTCATCTGGAAAAGTCTCTTTTCTATTCCCAATTGCTTCTCAGGTATTTAAGCAATTTATTAATATAAACTATGAATAAAAACTAAAAAATATAATTGAATAACCCATAAAATGTACTTTGCAGAATATTAATACCAATTTACTCTATTGCAATTTATACGAACACCGCCTATTTTATGTTCTACGGCGAAATTTACGTATCTATTCCTGGACTTCGCTTTGAAGAAAATGCCATAAAATACTTCTTCTACGTCAACGAAATCATTGTTCTCGCAATCATTATTGTAGAAGTCATCTTCGCAGATTATCTTTTCTTATCAACTGTATTCTATTCAGCTGCAGCTTTAAATATTCTCCACGACATGATTAATAGACTCGATCTAGAGGAATTGAAAAATAACAAAAATTTAAAGCAATTCTTAATTTCCCTTCATTTATTTTATCGTAAGACAGTGAGGAAAATTCAATTATTTATCAACGTTTTCTACTATGGAATTGTAACTCAAATTACAGCCAGTTTTATAATATTCATGTCTACATTTTTCCTTCTTGGACACGGCGGATCGGCGTATATTTTCTTCATGTCTTGTCCAGGAATATTTTATCAACTTGCTGCAGTTTGCTTCTTCGGGGAAATTATTTTCTCCAAAACTGAAAGCATTTTTCGCCGACTTTACATGACAAATTGGTACGAAATGAGTCTTAAAGACCAGAAACTCATGCTAATGTTAATGCAAGAAATGCAAAAACCTTTTGTGCTAAAAGCTTTCGGAATGTTTGATGTTAACTTAGTCATGTTGGTTCAGATACTTAAAGTAACCTTTTCTTATTGTACTATTTTGTATTCTTTGATGTAGTGGAATTAAATTAAATGTATCAAATTGTTTCCTGAAAGGATCTTTTTTTTGGGAGGGATTTTTTTAATGAGGATGGAAAGAATTTATGGAATAAATATTTAGAAATTGGTCCATAAATTAAGAATGTTCGCTTAAGTGATTGAAAACTAATCTAATTAAGTTGCAGTTAATCTCAGTTTGTTTCTTGAAGAACGAAACCTAAAAAACTTTGATAATTTATTACATTAATTTTTTAAATTGTAGAACAAATTACAATAAATGTACAATTGTGTATCGGAAAAAATTCTCTCGTTAATCAGTTTATCAATTTTGTATATAACATTGACCTTTGTCATCAATGTTTATTACGTATTAGAATATAAAGCAATTAACATTTTATGTTATAAAAATTTCTGTATGGAAAATGTTTTCAATAAAGTCTTCAATATTTAATGCTCAAGAAATGTTCAATTGAAGTGATTAGAAATCGTCTTTTGTGTCTTACCCAGTTTTCATTTGATTCTCAAAACGTTAACATCTGCAATGTCTAGTTTTATAGCCTGCTACAATGATTTCTTGATAGTTGAAAGAAATTTAATGCTCGGCATAAGAGCATTGAAACTGTCGAAAATTGTCACTTCTGCAATTTGGTTTTATATTTGTCTGTCAGCTTTCGCTGCACTTCTAACGCCAAATGCAGGAATTGCGCAACTTGCTCTGAGTGCGATTGCATTATTGGCTTGCTTACAGTTTTCTATCAGAATTCTATGCACTGTTTTCTACGCTAAGGAACTCGAAAGCATTTTCGAGTGGATTCGAACATTGCACTATGTTCACGAAAACGAATCTTTTGCTGCTTCAGCCCAGATTCACATGGAAAAATCTCTTCTCTTCTCTCAAATGCTTCTAAGGTAATTTCTTATCTTAATTTCTGATTGTACATTTATTAAATTGTGTTCTGAATTGCGCTTTCCAGAATACTGATACCGATTTACTTTGTTGCATCCAACTTTAATAACGCCTTTTGCATAATCACAGGAACGATTTTCTTCACAATTCCAGGATTTTTTGCCGACGAAAACAGCTCCAAGCTCATATTCTATATCAACCAGATTACTAATCTCTCAATTGCAGTGATTTCATTCACCTTTATTGAATATCTATTCTTATCAACTGTATTCTATTTATCTGGCGCCCTTAATATTCTTCACGATCTGATAAAAATCCTGGAACATTTGAACTCGAATCTGAATGTGAAGCGATCTATAAATTTGATTAATCAATTTTACCGTGAAATTATGGAGAAAATTCAAGCTTTTATCAATGTTTACTATTACGCAATTGTTGCTCAAGTTGCAACCAGCTTTATCATATTCATGTCAACATTCTTTGTTCTTCGACAAGAGGGATCAACATATGTTTTATTAATTTCTTGTCCAGGAATATTTTATCAACTTGCTGCAGTTTGCTTCTTCGGGGAAATTATTTTCTCCAAAACTGAAAGCATTTTTCGCCGACTTTACATGACAAATTGGTACGAAATGTGTCTTAAAGACCAGAAACTCATGCTAATGTTAATGCAAGAAATGCAAAAACCTTTTGTGCTAAAAGCTTTCGGAATGTTTGATGTCAATTTAGTTATGTTGGTTCAGATACTAAAAGTAACCTTTTCTTATTGTACTATTTTGTACTCTTTGATGTAACGCAGTTACATTAATTGCATGACAAAATAATAGTGTAAAAACGGTCTGGAAATTTTATGTGACCAAACAAGTGCAGCATATTTAATGCGATGAAACTTTCTATATTATAAAAATATATACATACGTATAATCATATACTCGGTTCTATAATAAATATATTTCTATATGACTAGGTATTCAAAATCAATGAATATTTTTAGAAAAATTCTCTTCAGAATTCGCTGTTTCAGATGTCTTTAGCCCGACAGCGCTTATATCGGCACACAAGTTTCTCTTTGACTTTCAAGAGGCAAACATCGAACATGCTCAAGTTCATAGATTGCTATAAAGAGTATCTAAGCTTTGAACATAACATTATGCTCGGCATTAGAGCACTGAATGCATCAAAAACTGTGACTTGTGTTGTTAGTCTTTATCTTTGTGCTTCAACTTTTGCTGCAATTTTCATCGAAAATTCAGGATTCATGCAAGTGTCTATAAGTGCAGCAACATTTATTGCTTCTCTACGATTATTTATCAAGATTCTATGCATTTTCATTCACACTGACACGTTAAAACGCATCTTTGAGTGGATTCGAACATTGCACAATGTCCACGAAAACGAATCAATCACAGCTTCAGCTCAAGTTCATCTGGGAAAGTCTCTTTTCTATTCCCAAATGCTTCTCAGGTGATCATAAATTTACTAAAACTCATAGTGAAGATTTCATTACCCATAAAATGTATTTTGCAGAATAATTATACCAATCTACTCTATTGGAGCTTTTACTAACACTGCCTATTTTATATTCAACGGAGAAATTTTCGCAACTATTCCTGGACTTCGCTTCGAGGAAAATGTCAAAAAATACTTCTTTTACATCAACGAAATCATTGTTCTGACAATTTTTGTCATCGAGATCATCTTCGCTGATTATATTTTTTTATCAACGGTATTTTATTTGTCTGCAGCTCTGAATATTCTTCACGACATGATAATACATTTGAATAATTTAGATTTTCAAGTGATTCTGAAGGAATTTTTAATTTCTATTCATCTTTTTTATCGCGAAATTTTGGAGACAATTATGGCAGTTATCGATATTTTTTACTACGCTATTATTGCTCAAATTGTAGGCAGTTTTGTCATATTCATGTCGACATTCTTCGTTCTTGGACACGGTGGATCAGCCTATACTTTATTGACTGCTTGCCCGGCAATATTTTATCAACTTGGCGCCGTTTGCTTTTTCGGGGAAGTTATTTTCTCCAAAACTGAAAGCATTTTTCGCCGACTTTACATGACAAATTGGTACGAAATGAGTCTTAAAGACCAGAAACTCATGCTAATGTTAATGCAAGAAATGCAAAAACCTCTCGTGTTTAAAGCATTCGGAGTATTCGATGTAAACTTTATAATGTTTGTGCAATTTGTGAAAATAACTTTATCTTATTATACAATTTTGTATTCTTTGATCTAATCCAGCAGCAACGGTTTCACGATAAAAAAAATGTGGAAAAATGCTCTAGAAATCTTAAGTGGCTAAACAAGTCTCCATATTTAAAGCTATGAAGTCTAATATATTACACTTAAAATATATATGTACAAACATATAAACTGTACCATAAAAAATAAATTTCTATATGTTAAAATATTCAAAATCATATGATATTGATTCCGCAATCGTGGAGGAGGAGAATAAATTTATTATTATTATAAAATTATTAAAATCTTCAACATTACTGTTAAAGACGTCTTCGGCCCGACAGCGCTTATATCGGCACATAAGTTTTTCCTTGACTTTCAAGAGGCAAACATCGAACATGCTCAAGTTTATAGATTGCTACAAAGAGTATCTAAGCTTTGAACATAACATTATGCTCGGCATTAGAGCACTGAATGCATCAAAAACTGTGACTTGTGTTGTTAGTCTTTATCTTTGTGCTTCAACTTTTGCTGCAATTTTCATCGAAAATTCAGGATTCATACAAGTGTCTATAAGTGCAATGGCATTCATCGGCTACATACCGTTATCAGTCAGGATTTTTTGCCTTCTTCTGCACTCTCAAGAGCTCAAAGGCATCTTCGAGTGGATTCAAACATTGCACAATGTCCACGAAAACGAATCAATCACAGCTTCAGCTCAAGTTCATCTGGAAAAGTCTCTTTTCTATTCCCAAATGCTTCTCAGGTATTTTAGCAATATATGAATGTAAACTATGAATATAATTGAATAATCCATAAAATGTATTTTGCAGAATATTGATACCGATCTACTCTATTTCAATTTATACTAACACCGCGTATTTTATGTCCTACGGTGAAATTTTCGCAACTATTCCTGGACTTCGCTTCGAAGAAAATGCCATAAAATACTTCTTCTACGTCAACGAAATCATTGTTCTCACAATCATGATGGTCGAAGTCATCTTCGCAGATTATCTCTTCTTATCAACTATATTCTATTCATCTGCAACTCTGAATATTCTTCATGACTGGATTAAGAGACTCGAGCTAGAGGAATTGAAAAATAACAAAAATTTAAAGCAATTCTTAGTCTCTATTCATTTTTTTTATCGTAAAGCAGTGAGGAAAATTCAATTATTTATCAACGTTTTCTACTACGCAATCATAGCTCAAATTACATCCAGTTTTATACTGTTCATGTCAACATTTTTCCTACTTGGACACGGCGGATCGGCGTATATTTTCTTTATTATTTGTCCAGCAATGTGTTATCAACTTGGCGCCGTTTGCTTCTTCGGGGAAATAATTTTCTCAAAAACTGAAAGCATTTTTCGCCGACTATACATGACAAATTGGTACGAAATGAACTTGAAAGATCAGAAATTCATGCTAATGTTAATGCAAGAAATGCAAAAACCTTTTGTGCTTAAAGCTTTCGGAATGTTTGATGTAAACTTATTAATGTTTGTGCAGATCGTGAAAGTCACTTTTTCCTACTGTGCAATCTTTTACTCTTTTATGTAATGCAAAAGCAAGATGTCGAGATTTTGAATATGGATAATAAATTTTAGTTCAAAATTTTGTTTGTATTTTTAATGAATTCAATCCTTGTTTTAAGTAATATTTTTCTCTCGTTGGAATATAATTTTTAATATGGATTCTTTTTATTTAATTTCATAGCTGAAAAGAAAGCAATGAATTACCTAAACTAATATTAAATTTATTTCCAAAAGAGAAATGCTTTCCAATAAATATACATTTGAGTATCGAAGACTTTCTTATGAAAAAGTGTTTTAAATTATTTATTTTTATGAATTGATTGGTGAGATTGACTTGGATTCCATTATACCTGAAAAGTATTCTTGTGACTCTTGAAATATCAACATCGATAATGTCCGGGTTCATAGATTGCTATAAAAATTATTTAATCTTTGAAAATAATATAATGCGCGGCATAAAAGCATTGAATATATCGAAAATAGTGGTTTTCTCAGTTTTCTTTTATGCCTGCATTTCCGCTTTCGCTGCATTATTTATTACGAATGCACGAATTGTGCAATTATCTCTCAGTGCAATTTCAATCATTGCTTGCACACAGTTTTCAGTCAGAATTTTTTGCATTGTTTTTCATACAAATGAGATCAAAAACTTCTATGAATGGATTAGAAAATTACACAATGTTCACGAATTCCAATCATTTACAACTTCTGCTCAAGTTCATCTGAAAAAATCTTTTCATATCTCTCAAGTTCTTCTCAGGTAATGTTAAACTTACAGACTTTATTGTCAAATCAAACAAAGTGCTAAACTTTGTGCTAAACTATGTTTTACAGAGTGATTTCATCAAACTTTCTAGTTGGATCGACTGGTCATATTCTCTACTGTATCTTTTCTGGGACGATTTTCTTCACCATTCCCGGAATGACTTTTAAAGAAAATGACTGCAAGTTCATTTTCCACATCAACCAGATTATAGTTCTTGCAATAGCAGCTGTTTCGTTTGTCTTCATAGAATATCTCTTCTTATCAACTGTATTCTATTTATATGCAGCACTGAATATCCTTCATGACACCATAAAAAGTCTCAACATTTTACAAAATGACACAAATAGAAGGAAATTGATCATTTCAGTTCATCTATTTTATCGAGAAATCATGGAGAAAATTCAAATTTTTAGCAACATTTTCTACTATGCCAATATTACACAAGTTGCATCCAGTTTTATTCTATTTATGTCGACATTTTTCCTTCTCAGACACGGTATATCAGCGTACATTATATTGATATCATGTCCAGGATTATTCTGTCAACTTGGCGCGCTATGTTTCTTCGGGGAAATAATTTCCTCCAAAACTGAAAGCATTTTTCGCCGACTTTACATGACAAATTGGTACGAAATGAGTCTTAAAGACCAGAAACTCATGCTAATGTTAATGCAAGAAATGCAAAAACCTTTTGTGCTAAAAGCTTTCGGAATGTTTGATGTAAATTTATTAATGTTTGTGCAGATCGTGAAAATCACCTTTTCCTACTGCGCAATCTTTTATTCTTTAATGTAATACAATTCAAGTAAAGAAAAATATAAAGGAAAAATGTAAGACAACCTGAAAATTGATCTTGAGGGCTGAAAATATTTCGTCATATTTGAGCAAGAGCCTTTTTCTTAATTATACACATCTTTTATAAACAATTAATATTTTATGAAATCTTTTGACTTTTCAAAAAAATTGTTACAAAAATAGAAGCGCTTTTTATGAGTATATTTAAATACTGTATGGTATAAATTAATTTAAGAAAAGAAAACTCTCTGAAATGTCTTGAATATTTTATTTTCAAGAATAATTTGGTGTCAATTTACTTTGGAATCTATTACGCTTGAAGTTTTCATGTCGCTCTCATTAAATCAACATCGTAAAATGTCTGAGTTCATAGATTGTTACAAAGAATATTTTAACTTTGAGAGAAATATAAAGCTTGGCATAAAAGCATTTAATATATCAAAAATATCGGTTATCGCGGTGCTTTTTTATAATTGTGCTTCTGCTTTTGCTGGAATTTTCATCCCAAATGCACGAATTGCGCAATTATCCTTGAGTGCGACTTCATTCATAGCTTGCATGCAATTTCTAGTTAAGATTCTATGCACTATTTATCATACAAAGAATATCGAAAGCATCTTTGATTGGATTCGAAAGTTACACAAAGTTCACGTTTACAAATCATTTACAGTTTCAGCTCAAATTCATCTGAAGACTTCTGTTTTCATCTCTAAAATTCTTCTCAGGTAAAACATTTGTGCTAAAAGTTGTGATTGTATAATAAAATGTTTCTTCTGATGATTTTCAGAGTGCTTTTATCCAATTTAGCAGTTGCAGCTACTGCTCACAGTCTCTACTGCATCTTCTCCGAAACGATTTTCTTCACCATTCCTGGAATGACTTTCGAAGAAAATGACTCAAAAGTCATTTTCCACATTAACCAAATTTTCATTCTTGCATTCACAGTGCTTTCATTCGTTTTTATAGAATATCTTTCTCTATCAATTATATTTTATTTATCTGGAGCCTTGAATATTCTTCACGATCTGATAAAAAGCCTTGAGAATTTGAATACTTCTGATTCGAATCTCAATGTCAATCGATTTATTATATATATTCATCTATTTTATCGAGAAATCATGGAGAAAATTCAAATTTTTAGCAACATTTTCTACTACGCCAATGTTACTCAAATTGCATCCAGTTTTATTATATTCATGTCGATTTTCTTCGTTCTTGGACATGGCGGATCAGCGTACATTGTATTGATTTCTTGTCCAGTATTATTTTATCAACTTGGTGTGATTTGTTTCTTTGGCGAAGTCATTTTCTCCAAAACCGAAAGTATTTTTCGCCGACTTTACATGACAAAATGGAATGAAATGAACCAAGAGGAACAGAAACTCATGCTGATGTTAATGCAAGAAACGCAAAAACCTCTCGTCTTTAAAGCATTCGGAATGTTTGATGTTAACTTAGTTATGTTTGTGCAGATCGTAAAAGTCACCTTTTCCTACTGTGCAATTTTGTACTCATTCATATAAATGAATCAAATAGAATTTATAGTGAAATATGAAGTGACAAATGTGAGTCAAACTGTAAAGTGTATGTTTTGAGTGGGCAGTCCTTTACAATGGGCGGGGCTTAGAGAAAATTTGAGATTTCTCTAGATTCTGTCTATCTTTCTCTTGTAAATTAAACTTTTATGAATGTGTTTTAAAGATAAACTGAGCATTTTCCACATTTGTATTGCAAATGTTTCTAAGATGCAAAAAAAATAAAGATGTATGGATATGTTGATATCTTCCTTGTAAAATTTCTTTAGCGTGAAATTGCTTGATAATTTCTTTGTACTCACAGTATGTTGAGCTGCATCTGTCGCCTGATGAGGGCATTCTTCTTGTTGACTAGAGTGAACCACTGAGAGAGTAGCTGCTCCTCAGTCTCATCCGAATCCGCTAAGGCGAAGAAAACAGTCACACTCTATTTGTTCACAGGAAAACCCTTCAACTCACCTGTCTTTCCACCCATCACATCCCTCAGCTTCTTCTCCAGCGCACTGGCTTTGAGGTCCACCGCCTTCTGCTCGCACTCCAGCGCGTCCAGTTCACTCTGGATGTACGACATCTTGTCCAGCTTCTTCTCGCGCTGCGGCGAGATGCGATCCAACACAGAGTTGAAGGATTGCAGTGGCGAATTTCCATTCTTCTCATTCCGCGGGCTACTGTGATTGTTCTCTCGGTCGATTGACTTCAGCGGACTGTCCCTGGGCGGCGTGATTCTGTCCCTGTAGATGGGCGAAATGGAGCCACTGCGAATCGGCGAGTTCTCCTTACTGCGATAGATGAACTCCATGTTGTTGATGGGCGAAATCGTCCTCTCCGGCGACAGCGTGATCCTCTGCGTGACCATCTTGATGGGCGATGACGGGGAATCGAGATTGAGCGATTTAGCCCGAGTCTCGGCGATTAACCGACGAGCATGCTCTCTTAGACGTTGCTGACGCTCCTCCTGAAAGACGAAGATCACACTTAAGAGACATGTTCTAGGAGAGAATATCAATTACATTACATTATCCGGATCACCCTTTCCATTCTCAAAGCTGTTCTGCTTCAACTTCTCCATCATCACTCTCGCCTTCTCGCTCATCTCCTTATGTCTGTTGAGGATTTTCTGCAAAACAATCAACAATAAACACACACAATTCCATCACTGAAAGCTTCACAAAGAAAACCACTCACATTCGTCGTCTCGGAATCCAGATTGATTGGCGGCGCGTTTGGATCTTCAGGCGTCTCTTGACTAGATTTCTCTGCCGTCGGCAGAACATCCTCCTCTTCGTCCGACCCAAAAGGATCCGTCAACTCCCGCCTGGTCATCAGGATGGGCTTCTCCCTGGGCGGCTGAGGCTCCTGACTCACCGCTCTGTCGCGCGTGGGCGACAACACTTTCCCGATCAGTGACTTGCCGCCCGTGAAGAAGAAGTTCTTCACATCCTTCTTCGTTGTGGGCGACTTCTCGCTCCTCTCCTCACTCTCTGCCCGCCTCTCCTCCTCCCGGGCGTCCAGCAGCTTCAGCTGATCCAGCATCTTCTCCGGCAAGTTGTCCGTCTTGTAGTTACCAATCACGTAGCTCGACTCATCGCTCGTCTTCCCAATCTGCTCCAATTCCAGCTGATGACCCGTGAAGTGGGCGCGCAGCTGGTGAAGGTACGTCATGACCGCCAACTTGTCCGGCACAGCGAGCAGATTCATATCTCTGGGCTCGATAACACGCGGAATTCCCAGACTTTCGGCGGCGTCAAACGCCGTCCGGCAGTTGCCGACAACATCGTGCGGCGAGAGTTTGCTCATGTCACTGCAAGGGAAGATCACAAAGCTTTAGCAAATAACTCCCCCAGAAGTGTTGAATCGTGGAAACTCACATCAATTCCGGCTCGTGATGGTGAATGATGGCACAGAAAGCCAGTCCATTTCGCCAGCTCGTCGTGAGATTCGTCACTTTAACTCCCTGATAGTCCTTCGTGATCTCCTTGCACCACTCAAGCAGATCCTGGCCAGGAGTTCTCTCCCTCAGACTCACCTTCTTCACCGGCGCCACCTGATCAATGTCATTCTCATAGCTCTTCTTCAGCTTCAGCGGCTGCAACTCCAGTCGACTTCGTTCGCGCTCCTCGGCGCTCTTCTTCGCCACCAGCGTATCCTTGGCAGAGTCCTGCACATCCTCCTTCGTCACTGGTAACTCCTTCTTCTCCCTGCCGGACAGGAAAGCGCTTCCACTGGATATCTCAAAGATGTGATTCACTGGCGGTGGAATTTGGGGCTGTCGGGGCGTCACTTCACTTGGCGCCTCTTCGGGGCGCTTTCCCGGTGTCTCCACGTCAGCCTCCAGGTCCGGAATGGCAGGATTCTCAGCCAAAGGTGTCTGATCCTCCGTCAGTGATGGCACTGCACAAGAAATACCCATGAAACAACTATAAAATGTGCATTAAAACCATCTTACCACTCATTGGAGTCGCTAATTCTGATCCTCCGCCAGTCAAACTCGACGTCAGGAGTTCCAGTTGTTGCGTAAAGTCCAGCACATGCTCAGAAATGTCACCAGAACTCTCCAGATCCGGAATATCCTCAAGATCATCCAGAGGCGCCACATCTGAGTTATTATTCACCGACATCAGAGACACAATGCTCTGCATATCCTCATCTCTGCCCAATGAAAGTCATCACATTAGAAGCCATTCTCTTATGTTTGGCACAAAACATCTTTCAACACTCACGTGGCTTTTCCCTCTCTCAGGAACACACAACTCAGCGTCAACTCTAAATCCGCCGACGTGATCTTCCGCGACACGGGCTTCAGCGTCAGCGTGAAGGATTGCTGAGTGGATTCAATGCTGGCATACTTCCTCATGTTGATGCTCGCGCTGGCCAGAACGCGCTTCTTCCGCATCTGCGTCACATCCTCCACCACGAACGTCCAATCCTTGTCCTCCAGCTCGTGCGTTCGCGGATCCTTGAACAGCGTCACGGAAATCGTGTGATTGTCTGGCACTGGCCACTGAATCTGTCCCACCAGCGGATTCATCATGTCCGGCTCCCACGGAAGAGGCGTCGAAGCCACTCTTCGACTCCTCCTCGTCCAAACAACAGCCAAGTTTGTGGGGCGCCTGAAAGTGAGTGAGTGAAGAGATTTAGTCAAATCATCATGAAATGTAATAAATTCTAATTGATATTATCTTTCCTTTGCGGTCAAGATTGACCCAGTTTACACACAATCAATATGAAAAAATACTAGGCAAGTGGAAAAAAAACATCCTCAAGTTCATGATAAGTGAATTGAAAAAAAAACTGAGGATATCCCCAAGGAAAAATGGCAAGGATTTCCACCCTCATTTCTATCGTGATTCACAGTGATATAAAATTGAATCGCCACTAAAAGAGCCATTGAAAGGCATTTTACGATAAATTGTTAATGAATTCTCCCACATTTTCTAGCCTTTCTCGCTCTTTTCATCAATCAATGAAATGTACTTTCGCCGCTCGGAAGGTTTTCCAAGTAACACACGCACACTCAGCCTGAGAATTATAGGCACAGGTAATTTCTTGTTCGCCTCTCTCTCTCTCTCTCAAGTGCTTCTCTCGTGGGCCATTTTTCATGCCCACGAAACGAGCAAATGATCACGAGATAAGCCAGGCAATTTGTCAATTGATTGAGAATGGGAGAAATTGGATCAGACACGACAAGAAGAGTCACTCTTCTGCCCACACAATCGACACTCCAGAGGAACATTGAACTCTGTCGCGTCGAGGAAAAGCCTCTAAACAGCTTAAGCTTTTCGTGAGTATAGAATTTCCTTGCGACTAATGAACTGTGGGTGAACTGTAGGAGAAAAGCTGATAAGATATCGCAATGCTTGCCATGTTCAAAATTGATAAATTGATTTTACAATCGGGCAAAATATTTACATAAATCCCAAAGACGATGCAGAGAATTTTGTTCACAGGAAATACTGCCACAAGATAAATCAGCTTTCTCAGCATTGGCCTTCACAGTCACACACTATCTAATCTCCAAAAAAAAAATCCCCTTCACTAATATGAAGAAGGAATGTTATGATTTTCCCGCCTTGCGCACTGATAAAAATTCATGACTATTTCAATATGCAAATTAAATGCTCTCAATTTTCCTGACTGATTCTCTGTGACAAAAAAAAGCTGCGAGGGGAGGAAGAAAAACACCTGGTGACACGAATATTGGTGGTTTCGTGAATGGAATTTTTAAGTGTCCGACCAGAATCGATTTTCCGCTCCTCCAAACTTTCATTTCTTCCACAGAGATTCCTGCTTGTCTTTGTAATCCAAACAGGCTTGATATTGTTATCAGAGCTCTGATCCGTGTAATTACTGCAGCCCTTTTCACCAATCCACTTAATCACACTTCACAACCAGACCAAGATTGAGGGGATTTGCTGAATGGTTTTCTCTCGAAAAGAGGAAGGAAAAAAAAACAAGAAAAACTCTCCATTAACCCTTTTGCTTGTTCTTCGTTTTTTTCCACGTCTTTCTTTCGTTAGATTTAATCAAATGGAATATTTTCTATCCTGAGAGAATTGAGCTCCAAAATCAAAATATGAGATATTTTTGCACATTCAGCAAAAAAGACAAGAGAAAAGATAAGCATTTATAGTTTTATTTCTCAGAACAGAAATTACTTTTCATGCCAGCATTTCTTTTCAAACTGTCAAAAACAAGTGAAATCATGACTTTTCACCAGATGGAAAGTTTCTTTTACTCTCTTTCACCTTTTGCCGACATTTGGTTCTTCTATTATACCACAATTGAGGAATTGAAAATGGATAAATGTGTTTTTGGTGCTCTTTATAGCAACTGTAATTGAAATTGACGCTTTTTCTTCTTCACATGTGCAAAATTGCTGATGGATCTAATTAAAAGCAACATTTTGCCTCAAGTTATCATTCAGTCTTATTCAATTTTAGGAAATTGCTCAGGAATGAAATTGATGCTGAAGACGATCGATTTGTGAGATTTCCAACGAGACCAATTTGAGAGAGTTTCTGGACTAAAAGTGGATTTTCTATTGCGGAATCATTTTCTTTATCTATTTCTGATAATGAGCTTTTTTTTTCAACAGAAGCCAAAAAGCATTCTTTGCAATAAACTATATTGAATGATTACAATTCCTTCGATTGCTCAGGAATTTCTATTGACAAATGAAAAATTCTTCACAAAAATACCACAAATTTCAGTTATCAAGACTTTTCCACCCTTTTTCCACTCAGAAGAACAATTCTAATTAGATTTTTTTTATATCAATCCATGAAAAAATACTCAAGACACGAAGTCTAAAGTCCCATTTTCACTCTCAGTCGCTTGTTTACTTTACTTCTCTAGCCTTTGTGCCCCCGACACTTCATTGTTGATCACTTTTCATCAAACATCATCGAGGCCAAGCGTCACGATTACTCCCAATTGGCCATATCGCGCAATTTTTCCCCGCACTCGAGAAGAGCATCTTCAGCTCGGCAATTAGAGTGCCTCATTTGCTTTGAGACTGCACAATAATCGCCACAGAATACTTCACACACACTAAAGTTCTCACGTATTTTTCAACCATATCAGACGAAAAGGACACACCGAAGAAAATTGGGAAAAGTGATTCCGTCTGCTGATAAATAAAGGAACACATTTTATCTAATAGTTATTGACATGAAGAGAAAATTTTCCACACAGGGTGAAAAAAACCGAGAGGCTTTCACTTAAGAATTGCACGCCTCTTGAGAATTGTTTTCCTCTTGTTTTCCTCTCGTGTTGCTATTTTTGTAATCTCCCAATACAAACACCAGCACAGATAAATCGCAATTTGCAAAAGAAAACAAAGGACAGAAAGAGAGAATAGAATCCAATGACAATCAGCTGAGTTGGGACTTTTTTCGCGTGGAATTTTCCTGTGACCTTTATAAGATGTTTGAAAATTGCCATTTCTCCGCAAAAGACATTCATTTATAGATTATGTGTATTTCTCCCATTCAAATAATTTTCTTCTGCAGCAGCAAATCGAAAAATTGCTCCTTCGTTACATCCGGCAGACACGGACCAAGGAATTGCAGCAGAAGTGGAATTCTCGTGACGCCCTTTTTGTACTCCTTCAGCGACAGCTTGTGGCGCGCCTGACTCCTGAACGTCCTCAAGACCACATAGATGAGATCCTTCCTGGCCTCCTCCCGCTCCTGAACACTGCCGCTGATGAAGCAGTCGCCCAGGAACCTCATCATGTAATCCCTACGTATGAATCCCTCGCCGAAGACATCGTAAATGCCGAAGCAGAACTCCATTTTCTCCGCAAAGTTGCTACTGAAGAAGATCTCCATGGTTTTCATCCACACTTCCGGACCCACGAACATCTTTATGCCGCCGCAGAGCACCTCAAGAGTGCGATAGTGCAGAAAGTGGACATTCGGCTTCACCAGCAGCGTCAACATGTTCACAAATTGATCCCTCGTCATGACCTTCTCGCGCTTCACCGTGCAAATTTTGTGGAAGATGTAGAGCAACTTCTCCACATCTCCCGTCGAGAATCTCTTCCTCTTGCCAAACTTACGCAACTCCACGCGATACAGCACACGAAAGTTCGTGGCCTCGCTCAATGGGATGCGAAACATGATTGATTTCAGCGCGTCTCAGTGAAAATTTTCAACAGAATGCAATTGTTTCTCAGTGCACAAGTGCTTTGAAGAGCCTAAAATGCACTTGAAAAGGGTGTTTTTGAATCAAATTAATCTCATCAATGATATTTTGATTAGAAAAGACACTTTCTGTGAGATAAGAAAGCTTGTTACGGATTTGTTAATTATAATGAAGGGTAATTTGTTAGTCTACTAATTAAAAAAAAAACCTTTTAAAGGTTCTTAAAGTTTAATCTGGAAAAGTTGAAAATGAAGATATAATTTAATTTCACTGATAAGAAGTGTTTTCTTGTTTTTTTTGTATTTTCTTTTTCTTTGCTAAAATTAAATCAACGCAGATTAATGAAGAATATATAAAATAAAAAAACACACATAATTTTCACTCGATTCATTTTCTTTTGCCAAATTTACTAAAATTATGCATCAACAGATAATAAACCTAATTAGCAAGGCCACTTCCCGGAAAACCCTTTCAGAGGCACTGAAGAGCAGTGCTGAAAGGCATCGATTGGCTCTCAGAGTGTCAATTGACGCAATATCTTGGCGTGAAAACCACAGCAGAGTAACAAAATCAATTAGAAAGAGCAGCAGAGGAGCAGGAACTCACCATTTGGCCGTGGTTTCTACCCTCAGACTGTGATAAGACACCGTAAACTGGAACTTTGCCGCCCTCTTGTTCACTCTCTGGAGCCTCTTCCAGACACTCCCCATCATCTTGCCCACTTTTCACGCACGCACGCACCACAGTTGTACTCTGTCGTCACTCTAGCACATGGCCATCACCTTCGCGGGGGGCTCCGATGGGAAATTGGGGCGCCACCGTCCGGAAAATACCCAGAAAGTCTCCTCAAAGGTTGCTCAACTCTTTGTTTTTCTTCCCCGCACTGAAGGTTAAATCATTGCCTTCACGACAACTCTTCTCACGTCACCCGCGCGCGGATGATGTCACTGGTGAGGAATTAGATGTCTTCACCACTTGTGACCAGTTTTTCCACCAAATTTCCACGAAATCCGCGAGGAAATCTCATCATTCTCACTGTTCACGTCAAACTGAGGAAATTTGCTCAGACCGAGCAAGACGAAGACACGCACCGTGAGTGCAAGCGAGACAACTATATGTGCCTATCGATTAGTTTGGGACATTCGCGCATAACCTTACTTTGCTCTTCGCCAGGCGCTTTCTGGGGCATTTCACCGGGGATTTGGTGGGAAATTCCATAGTTTTCCCAGCTCTTGTGGTGAAGTTTAGTCATTTTCAGTGCGAATAGGAATTTTCGTGGCGAACTGGCCAGTGACAAGCTTGTCATCCTGAGAATCGCGCTAATTTTCACGAGTCTGCGCGCCTCATGAATCGATATCTCCTATATATCTCCTATTTAGGCACCAATTTCCGGTGAGTTTGCTGACCCTATTCCGCGTCAAGTCATCTTACATCATTCTCTTCTCTTGGTCCGTGAAGGGGCTTGCAGAAAGTAATCAACAAGGTGAATCCTCAGCCTCTGGACAATTCAACAGTGCAATCTGCCTTGGAATTTGCCCTCCAGCGCTTACAACCGGCCAATGAGATTAAGGTGGTCATCTCCAGTCGCACGGACTCCGGGGTGCACGCCCTCCACTCGGCAGTTCACGTGGATCTCGAGAGGAGGAGTGGGAAACCGTACGAAGAGCACTACATCACGAGCCTCCTGAACCAGTCTTTCAAGCGGGATGAGATCGCCATCAGAGTGCTGAACACCAGGCGAGTTCCAGACACCTTCCACTGCCGCTACAGCGCACAATCCAGAAGCTATTTATATCGTGTGGCTGTCGCTAAGACTTTCCAAGTGCCTGATGAGCATCAGAAACGCTCTGCGAGGCTGAATTTCATCCCAGTGGAGGAGCTGAATCGCTGCTTCTTTGTCGCCAATCCTCTCCTGGACATCGAGAAGGCACGAGAGGCCGCCAAGTTGATACAGGGCTATCACGACTTTCGGACGTTCATGTCCGTGTTGAAGGACAATAGCAGAGATCACGCATTCTTCGCTGTCCGACGAATAGACGAGCTCTCAATCACACCGGGAAAAGCTTTAGTGACACAGCCCAACATCTCCAGAACCCAGGAGCTGTACAACTACTGGGATTTCACATTCGTGGCGCGCTCCTTCGTCTACCGACAAGTGAGGAGGATTGTCGGCACTCTTCTGGCCGTGGCCGAGGGGAAACTCACGCAGAAGGACGTGTATGAGATGCTGACCATCCCCAGCAAGCACTCCTGGCCAAACGTTGCAACCATCGCCCCACCCTACGCGCTCTACCTCACGCAGGTCACGTACAGAGAGGAGGACTTGTGCTTCCCTCAGAATGAGTCTCCTGGAGAAGATTCAGGCGCGTCAGAAGTGTCTTCGTCCCAGTGAAACCCTGGTCACCTTCCCAGACGGTACGCGAGTCATCGAGCGATCATCTGAGGTAATCCCAGTTGGGAAATCTCCTTTTGGCTTTGTCGTGGACACCAAACCCGATCCGGAAGCCGCAGAAATCATCCCCGGAAAACTCTATCTCGGCTCACAGGACGCTGTGGAGTTGACGCAGATCTCAAGACTGGGAATCACTCATGTGCTCAGCGTAGGCATTGAGTGTCCCATATTTTTGCCTCATCCCATTGAGAATCTCCACATTCCGTGCCTCGACCTGCCGGAGAGCTGCATCTCGAGCTCTCTGAACGACGCCAGGGAGTTCATCCTCGCCTCGAGGTGCTGCCTGGTGCACTGCAACGCCGGTGTGTCCAGATCCGCGGCCATAGTCGTGGGATTCCTGATGCTGGAGGAGGGAATGGATTTCGAGGAGGCGCTGAATCTTGTCAGGTCAAAGCGACCGGCAGCCAGGCCCAATCCTGGCTTCCTGGAGCAACTGAGGAGGCTTAGAAAAAAATAGACTGTTTTAGTAGCCCGGAATGTGTATTTTAGAACTTTAGGCTGAATCCCGGGCCCATGGCCAGCTGGCGGGACTCCAGCAGGCTGCCGCCCAGGTGGAAGCCCGACGGGTTGTCCGCTCCGTCCTCGCCCAGCTGCTTGAACTGACCGCCACCGGATGGCGGCTTGGGGCTGCTGGCCAGCGCCTTCCGCACGCCCAGCTCGCTCTTGGCCGGCCACGTGGGGAACATGGCCGGATCGATGGACAGCGGAAGCTCCTTGAAGTAGTGGCTCTTCAGCGCCTGCTCCGCCGTCAGGCGCTGCTTCGGGTCGTACGTGAGTAGTCCCTGCAGCAGCGACAGGCCCAGCTCGCTGGTGAGATGCGCGAACTTCTTGCGCAGTTGCGACACGGGATACTCGGTGAATGTCATCTTCTGCACCGCCGGCAGTTCGCCGTAGCCCGGCCAGATCTTTTCATTGGGCGTGCCCAGATCCTTGAAGATCCTGTTCAGCTGGTCGATCTCGGATTTGCCGGGAAAGAGCGCCGTCATGGCCAGGAACTCGGCGAAGATGCAGCCCACGGACCACACATCGATGGGCGTCGAGTACTCCTTGCAGCCCAGCAGTAATTCCGGGGCGCGATACCACAGCGTCACCACCACGGACGTGTAGGGCTTCAGCGGCGAGCCGTACTCGCGCGCCAGGCCGAAGTCGCCGACCTGCAAGGATAAGAAAACAGTAGATGTGATTCCAAGTCCCGGAATTCCCGCGCTGTGTCTCGACTTACCTTGAGGATGCCTTTGTGAGACAACAGCAGATTGGAGGTCTTGAGATCCCTGTGCAGGATCCAGATGTCGTGCAGGTGCGCCACGGCGCGCAGCAGCTGCTGCGTGAGGCACTTCACCTCACCGGGCAGGAAGGCCTGCTTCTTGTGCTTCATCGTCTCCATGAGGCTCTTGAGGTCGTGCTCCACGTAGTCCATCACGATGAAGATCTTGTCCATGTTGCTGCCCACCACGATCTCGCGCACCGTCACGATGTTGGGGTGTTGTCCCTTCAGCAGCGTGTTGATCTCGCGCAGACTTGTGATGGGGAAGCCCTCCTTCTCCTTCTCCATCTTCAGCCGCTTCAGCGCCACAATCTCCTCCGTGCGCTTGTCCTTGGCCCTGTACACCACCCCATACGTGCCCTCCTCGATGCGATTCAGGCACTGGAACTCCTCCACTGAGCGACAGCCCTGCAGCGCGGGAAAGTACGACGGCAGATCATCGGCCGGGTTTGGCTTCTCCTCCGCAACGGCATTTTCCGCCTCTGGGGCGCTCTCCGGGGGCTTCTCTGGCTGCTCGTCCTCCTCTTGGAAGATCTGGGCATCTCGCTCGCGCTTCGAGGGACTTCTGGAGGACGCCCTGCTGCCGGGCGCCTCGGAATCCGAACTGCCCGATGCGCTGCCGTCGGACGGCGAGCCGGAAGCTGATCCGGGAGATTGAGTTTTCGACTTGGAGCTGTTCCGCGAGGAGTTTCTATGCCTGTGCTCGGACTTTGACAGATCGCCCACGGACAGAGGACTGTTGGGAATGTCCTCGTCGTCTTCATCGGAGTTCTGGGAGTCCTCGAAGCTCTCGCTGCTGTCCGACTCAGAGTCGCTCTCCTCGGACTTGTCCGACACCGTGATCACTTGCTCCTCACTCTCCGGCGCCAACTTCCGCCTCTTGTGCACCACTGAGCCATCGTCCTCGTGCCGGTGGTGCTTTGTATCGTCCCTGCGCTCTTCCCTGTGCATCTCCCGGCGCGCTCTGAGCTCTTCCCGCGCCTGCTCCTTTCGCCTGCTCGTCTCCCTGTCGATCTCCAGCAACTTCGCCTTCCTGGCCGCCTGCTCCGGGTCCTCGTAGCGCTCCCTCGGCCGCCCCGAGCCGCTCGGCTGCTGGTCTCCGTAGTTCTCCGGACTGTCGATGTCCTCCACATTCCGTCGGTGCTCTCGATGCTCTCGCCTGCGTTCGTGCAGTTGCCTCTTCTCCTGGTGCTGATACTTGGGCGCCCGCCTGGCCATTTCCGCCTCCATTTTGTTGCGCTTGCTCAGCAAGTGACTCCGCAAATCCTCCAGCATTCTGTCCGCCTCAGACTTCTCTGGACTGCGCGGCTTCCTGTACATTTCCCTTGGCCGCCCGTAGTGCTTCCTCTCGTCATGCCTCCTAGGCGGCTGGTGGTGATACTCGCCCCTGCCGTGGTGGCCGCTGTGGCGTCTGTCGTGCCTCTCCGGACGCTCATGTCCGGATCTGTGGCGATGATCCCTCATATGACGCTTCTCCTTGTACTCTCGCCGCTTGTCGCGAATGCGCCCCGGATGACGCGTTGCCTGCGGCGGTTTGATGTCCAGGGAGTCCTCAGTGCCCTCGGCCTCGCCAAAACTGCTCCCGGGAAAAGAGAAACAATGCTCAATGAGTCAAAGCCATTGGCTCAAAATCACTTTCTTCTCACCTTTCATCGTTATTATCCGGAGATCTCACTTGTCCATCTTCACTGATGTCATCAGCGCCTGATCCTTCCTCGTAAGCACTCATTTTCGTGACCTTCTCACAGTGATTTTCCAGGGAAAAAAAAACACGCAAAACCAACGCAAAACACTCAAACGATTGCAAATGTCACTGACAGCTCGCGTCGCTTTAATTTTGGGACAGCAAACATAGCCTCACAAAGGGTCGATAAGTTTCCAACGTTTCGATGGTGTTCAAGCGAAGTTTCAAATGAATCGGAAATTCTAAATATTATCTTTAAAGTAAAAATCCCCAATTATTCTGTGTACATTAATGTTTATTATCTTTTTACATAATTTGCGCATTTTCCACCTCATTTTTCATCTCATTTTGAATTCAATAAAAATTATTACACAAAGTTACAAGTATTTTTGGTCAAGCATTTCATTTTTTTTTTTATCAACTTCTCTTTCAATAAATTGATAAAGGAACTCACATTGAAATGATTTTTCACTTTTTTTTTGTTATGTCAATAAATTCACTTTGTCCGTTCTTTGCTGTCGCATTATTTTGATTTCATCAAAAAAAAAAAAATAAATCAACACATAAAAAACAATAAATAAATTTCTACAATAAATCATCGATGCAAAAAAAAACATATTTGGTACTTGTTCAAGAGAGAGAATAATAGGAAAAAAATAACGAATAATTTATGAGGCTAACAAAATAAATACAAAGATAAGAGAACAATTCTAAAAATGGCTTATTATGAAGTTACACTACTTCGCAATGAGTGATTGTTACTTTTCCTCCTTCACAAATTACAAAAAAACACTGTATTTTCCATGTTTTCACACACTTTTCCTACAGTAGAATCATATAGAGAGAAGTCTCTTCTTTCCTCCTCTTCTCACGTTTCTTCACCTAAGTTTTATGATAGATAAATGTCCTATATTTATTCCTACAGTTTTTCTTCTTCTTTTACTCCACTTCTCAAGATATTTTTTTTTTAATAATAATGATGCTCTCAATGGGATATTCTACTCTTGCTAGACTTAAAAAAAAACACACATCCTCATCGAAATTGGAAACAGATATCAGTTCTCTTAACATACAATAATGATTCTCAATCTAACAATGGGTTTTTTTTCTTCATCTTCTTCATTATGTTATCGCTTTCTAATCTCCCTTCCTTCACATACTTAAATGGTAGTTTATTCATCTTTAGTGACATTAAATTTACAGAGAATTTAGATTACACAACTTCTACCACTTCTATATTTCTCCACACTTCATTTTTTTTGCATAAAATGTCTCTATTTATATGTTTTCCTTTAAGTAAATTTCTCTCTTAACAAGTCGTCTCTAGATCTTATTGAAAAAATTGACACAATATATCTATATTTTTTGTGTAATTTTCATGGTTTTCTTTTTTTTCTTCTTCTTTCATCTGGAAGTTTAGCATATTTTGCATATACACTGTTTTCTTTTTCATTTAGCTAATTTCTTATATTAATCGCTTACTTCATCATTTTCTCTCTCTCTCTGTCCATTTATAAATGTTACTTCTTTCTCCTACATCTTCATCATTAATTGAAAACACGCATGTAATGAAGTGACGACTGTAAAACCATTTAGCAAAATTCGGGCCTGCAGGATTGTCCAGTATTCAATGTTTGAAATCAATGTTAGTAAGAATGGAATGCAAATCAAATGACTTTTGGCACAAAACTCTACTGACAATGTCAAGAATTGTCACTATTTTTTTCTTCCATCATCGCTACAAAATTCATCTCTATTATTTTCTTTTGTTTGTTTGTATCTCTCTTTGAGTATATAAACGCTATTATGTGTTAAAAGTTTTTGTCACCAATCACGGTAAAAGTTGTCATAAACCCAAAGAAAAAGAGATAAAATACACGTATAAAAATCCGCACATTGAGGTTCGTTATTATCCTTATGTTTCTTCTTTGCCTTCAACACTAATTTTTTTTCTTCATTTTCTCCTTCAATTACTAAATGCTAAGCATCTTCTTTATAACATTATTTAATCATCAATAGAATTGTTCTGCCCACAAAACACCAAAAGTTCAATCTTCCTCCGCATTTTGTGGACAAAACAATTAACATTTGCCAACAATTTAAATACTTTATGTTATTATGTCAAATATCCGTTTTTTTTCTTCATCCTTTTCTTCTCTCTTTCACTCTGTTTAGTAGACGCAGGAATTTCACTGGGTTTCTTTTTTAAAATGTTGTTTTTAAGTAGAAAAACACTTAGAAAAAGTCTCACATGGATATAGAAAAAGAAAAATCAATCGATGGAAAGTTGAGAGACGCGCTCAAAAGAATCCTTGTTGAACAGAAATTCCACCTTTTCATGTATCCTTACACTTTAACTTGGCTGAGGCATCTTTCAAACGACTCGTCTCTATGAAACAGGAACGAGATCGTAAAAGTAACCGCTAGTTGGATCCATTAGTGCTCTTCGTGAACGCATTTCCGGACACATGGCCGGAAATGATTGCCGCTTTGTTGGCCGACGCCGCGGCACTGATATCACGCTCCGTGCCGTAAATCTTGCCCGCCTTCTTCGCCATGGAGCCGAGCAATTCTTGTGACAACTTGTGCGCCGATCGCAGTGACAAAGCCCACTCCTTCAGTCCAATTTCATCCTGCGGAAAGACAGAAAATCACACACAAACAGCGTCAGATGAACTCATCTTCTTTTCCTCGCAAAAATATCACACTCTTCACACACTCACTGGATTCGTCAAGACTATTCGACCGTCGCGAATTCCATCGCGAAAGCGAATTTGTATACATTGCTCATTTTTGTATTGCACGTAATCTGATGAGACTTCCTCTATTTGGTCCATAAAAATCAGTTCTGGCTTTGTGCTTCCGCTCTCCGAGTGCAATTCCAGTCTGTGTCAACGAGAATTCATTCATTAGCATCACAATTTAATCCCATCTTACCCCAATTCACACCCTCCCCACAGAAAGAGTATTTCTTTTCGTCTTCTTGTTGTAATTTTAAACTAAAAAATGCATCAAAACTTGAGAAAAAGAACATGTAAATGGGAAATATTCCCAACTCCAGCATCTGAAAACATTTCAGCGGCGAATATATGGGTGAAATATGTCTCAAATGTCAGAGAGAATAAAGCTAACAAAACTTGTTATACAGTAAAAAAAATCTTAAAATTCAATTTTAGATTCTTTAGGAAGAGTTTTTGTGTGAAAAATGTCTTTATGACAACCCAAAATTTCCATTAAATGATTTCAAATTCTGAGTACTATTAAATGAATTTTGATTGGATTGTGAGCGTCTACTTTTTCCGATATTTCAAAGTCTTTTGCATTTCTATGCACTAATTAAATATGCGAACGAGAACATCTCAAGATGCAGTGAAAAAGATTATACGTTGTATTTATGGTAATTTCTATGCATAGAAATCTATGAAGTTTTCTTTGTGCACTTCATATAACAATTTTAACTATCATAATCCCAATTTCAGAGAGTATTACTTTCAAAAAGACACTCAATCATAGAGAAAAGCAATTGGAAAAATCATATCCTAAATAGAAAATGGCCATTATATTAATTAATTCATTCACTTATTGCGACATTTGGTTCATTTTATCGATTTTATCCCATAGAGAGAAATATGAGCACTTTCAGTACAAAGAGAAGCCACAATACCACTTGATTCCCTCTGCTTTCATCCCTGTTGTCTGTGAAAGGATTACAATTTGCGCACAAACTCACCGATTGGGATACAGCTTTGCGTAGCGTGTCTGCCAAACAGAGGCGAAAGCACCGCCTAATCGCTTAATATAGCCGTGCAGAATGCAGTCGGAATCCTTCTCATCGGCATCGAAGCGCTGCTTCTGCTTCGCCTTCTTCTTGTTCTCCACCTTGTCCGCCTCATTGTTCACCGTCTCGAACACAGTCTCTGCCACTTCTTGTTGCCATCTGGAATTGGCAAAATTACATTATTAGGCAATTAAGTGGGCGGAACAAGCTAATGGGCGGGTCTTCAGTACAATGAAATTACAGAGGAAACAATCAGTTTCCCATGTCATAATTAGACGCCAACACAGCAATTGTACTCCCTCAAGACCTGATGGTTAAGAAACATCCTAGAAATCTGAGCTTCTGAATTCGATTCACTCACTACAGATGAATCGAACTATTGATTGTGTTTAAATTGAAGCGATGATGACATTAAATGGCTGAAAGAGGATTTGTCTGGAATGAATTCAATTCAATAGAGATCTCATTAATTACTGCACAAATTGCCATAAAATTGATACTCAATTTATTCCTTTCATTCATCCTTCCACTTGTTTGGGAGGGATTGAGAAGACTCAAACTTCCTGAACTCCTCTAGTCAAAATATACTTTATACATGATTGAAAATACCAGCAATTCACATCAGAAAACCTTCAATATCATGTAATTAATTTTGATAGTCAATTTCTCACTGATTTTGCACTTCGAAAAGTGCCTTTGGATGGAAAGTTTGCTCGTTTCTTTTTGATTTCCTGAGTGAAATCACAAGAAGAACATTTAAGAGAGCTTGACTCCTTGTTGACCTACATTCTTTATGACTTTTCCAGGTCGTTCTCTTCGTCGGGTGCCTTGAAAACTATTGAAAGTTAAAATTGCCATTTTTCACGACAGCAAAATGTTTTTTGAGATTGAAAATTGTTTCACAAATTGCCAAATCTTCCCTTAAACTCCCTGTTATTGTTATTATTAAAGTGTTGATATTGTTTGATTCTTTCATTTATTTGATATAACTTTTTAAATTGTACTGGTATATATTGATTTTTTTACTTAAATATGGAAAGTTTACAAACAAAACTGAAGATAAATTGTACAAAAATTCGATTTTCAATAGACTTTGTGTACATTTTATCCAATCCAAACGGATGCAGAACAAAATGTACCAAGAAAACTACCAAAAGTTGCCTTTTATTAGTCTTCAAGGCAACCGTCGGACTTCAATTTCCCTCCAATTGTGATTTGCACTCAACATTTCCTCTGTGAGATTGCAATTATAGCGACTGGGCCATATGGGCAAGAATGCTCATGGTCGTAAAGTGTTAAAAAGAAAATTATAGCGACTCACCTCTCTGATATGGTCAATGGAAAGTATCGGTAGAGATCCTGATCTGCCTCTGTTAGCTTAATACCCTTCGTGTCCTCTTCGTCGAATGACCCAATATCGAATGCATCAGCCGCATTGACTTCGCCGCGCGGCGGAATCAATGGCGGCGTGTACTTCTGAATGTACACCTGATGCCAGTCTATGCCCGTGAAGAAGGGATGCTCCTTCACCTCTTCCGCCCTGCAAGACAAGTTTCGTTAGACCACCGAATGAAAAATTGTGAATGGGAAAAGCTCACCCTTTGCCGCGGCATCCCAGCCTCTTGTCAACATCTCTGTGCAGCAGACTCTCGAGCAGATTGCGCAGCTCCTTGCTGAACGACTCCGGAAGCTCCACATTCATCGTCAGCGTCATGCGGTCAATCTCGTGCTTGTCCTTGGTCTTGTGCTGCCTAAAGGGCGAGTGACCCTTCAGCAGCTTGTACAGCATGCACCCAAAGCTGAACCAGTCGGCACTCGAGTCGTACGGCGTGCCCTTCGACAGCACTTCCGGCGCCATGTAGCCGTGCGTGCCCACGGACGCGTGCGGCTTCTTCTTGGAGTAGTCACATGCCAAGCCCAGATCCGATATCCGGATGTGCCCATTCTCATCCAGCAAGATATTGGCCGGCTTCAGGTCACGATACACAATGTAGCGCTTGTGCATGTGCTCCAGGCCCAGAATCACCTCCGCCGCGTAGAACTTCATCTCGCTCTCATTGAAGACGCCGTGCTGCGACAGATGGTAGTGCAGATCGCCGCCATTCATCAGGTCCAGGATGAAGCAGAGCTTGTCCGTGGTGTGAAAGGCATACGTCATGCACACAATGAAGGGACAATCGATGCCCGTGCTCACGAGAGACAGCATTGTGCGCTCATTGAGTGCCAGCGTCTCACCTTGCTTCATCTTGATGCGCTTCTTGTCCAAACACTTCATGGCATACATCTTGCCCGTGTCGGCCTTGCGACAGCCGTACACCTCACCGAAGCCACCCCTGCCGATGATCCTGTGCACGCTGAAGTCATTCATCGTCAGCTGAATGTTGAGCTCGAGATTCTTCCATTGACAGAATCTCGTGTACTTCTCACTCTCGAGGAACTTCACAAAAGGCTCCCCGCGCAAGTGATGGAATATCTCCTCAATGTACGGCTGCAGTGAAGAGGGAAAAGAGGAACGAAAACAATGAAGCCTTTCATTCTAAAGATTGAATATCAAAACTCTCTTTTCTCTCACCTCAAACAAGTTGACTGGCACCTCATTCTTCATTAAATATTTCTGAACATGTGACACAGCTTCTTTAGAATATTCCTGCAAAAACACAAGAGAGAAGAGACCACATCAATGCACACACATGGCAGGCCTTTCAGCGCTCACACAAACTCACATGAGTATGCGATAGCATTTCCTTCATTATGAAATTATCATAAATCTCCCGCGCCAGCTTTCGCCTCTCATCATGGCACTCAGTTTTCTCATAGTTCTTGATCTGCTCATAGAATTTCAGGTGCGGCACCGGCTCTTCAGACACATTCTCGCAGAAGTCTTTGAACAGCAAGTAGCCAAGGATCTGATTGAAGATCTTATCGAAGCTAATCTCGTTCTCCTTCTCCAAGTACTTGTGCATTACACTGCGGACGCTGCAAAAGAGGCGCAAAAGAGTGGAGAATCTCATTAGTTTGGCTCGTCAATTGCTCAGAGACGGAGCGCAAAAGGGGGAGAGACTTGAGGTAAATTGAGCTTCATATCGCCCCAGTTGACCGATGACCCAGAGCCAGAATTCAACCTCTGCCGCGCTGCATCATCGCCAGTTAGTGAATAATTGAGGCTCTGTTTTCACTTTCGCAATTCTGCCGAATATTCTCTATAATGCAAAGAGTAGGGAACAGCGGGACATCTTTGGACATTCAAGTGTTACAATGAAGAATTCTTGAAACATTTGCCATACATTCTTATTGAACAAGTATTATAAAATATTGTGTAAACTTGCTTTTAATCTTTCCTAAAATATTAGCAAAACAAATCACGAGATTAGCTCATAATTCTGCAAAAAGCAGAACGCTCAGCCCCACTCTCCCCTAAGAGTTTTGCAGGCTTTCGGCCGAATTCCAAGATCTTGTGACGCTTTTTCTACGTTCCGCTGTGCCAATAAGACTCAGCGAACCGATAGTGATTAGGCAGGTATTTTTGCACCTCGGCCGCACATTCTGCGAATACAGACGGCATAATAAGCCTGGCCGCAAGACAGTCCGCGAGGCGCAACGGTGAATGATCAAAATACTTAATGATACTTATTAAATTCCCTCTTCGCCTCGGCGACGGGTGTGTTCTGTTAATTCTTCGGTCGTGTTTTGTTTGGACGCAAAAAAGGCACAGAGATGTTGCGTGAACAGATCGGCGGATTGTTTATTTACTCTTGAGCTCTCTGGGAATTTGTTGATTCTCCCCGCGCAACGGTCACCCGAACTGCTGGCCGCGCGCGCGCCCGGGGGCTCACCTGGGGTCCGGCAGGATGATCTTCTTGCTGGCCCGCGCCGCCGGGGCGGACTTGGACTTCTCCATCGCCATCAAGTAGCTCACATCCGCCAGCACTGCCTCGAGGTCCGCCATTTTTGTCCGCTGGCTCCTGCTCTAGTTGGCCGAGAATCGATTGGCGCCGCGGCGCCCCACAGCCGCCTCGCACGCCCGCCCAAAGTCACCCTCTGTGGCCACGCGAACACCCACTGAGCCACACCAGGCCCGCGAAGCGCCCCACAGCCTGCGAAGTGAACCCAAGTTCCCTTGCCTCGCACTCGCAAACTCACTTTTTTCACCACACTTTTTCGCACACACGCTCGCCTACGCGTGGCTCGCGTTCTGCTCTGAGGACATCATCGAGAACTGTCGTGTGGCTTGGGAACACTCAACACCGGTTAGCACTTCTTGGCAAAGCTGCACGCACAAAAAAGTTCCGTAGTAAAATTCTTCGCGACCGACATTGATATTTTGACATCCGTTTCGCGATATGTACATAGAGCGCTTCGGGCGGCCGTCGGCGAAAGGTCGGCAAAAGTGAGCAACTCGAGCGCATCCCGGCTGAAGTTGCCCCATAGCAAATTACCGCTATTAGTAGCGCAATTGAGGGACTTTTTCTATCGCAAAACACTTTTATTATTCTTCTCGTCTCTAATCTCTCTAATCATCTAATCATGGAGTATCTAGTAGAGTTGTTCTACATCAAAACTAACGTTTATTACCTATTGTTTCTTTTCTGGGTCAAAGGGCTGAATTTTAACTGGAGCATTTTCTCTATAGAGAAATATCAAATTCTCAAGTCATTTTTTTGGTGTAAAGCCCAGACATGATTTGCATAAAGCAATTTCAAAACAAAATTTTTGATTTTTCTCCTCTTTTCCCCTCACCCGAAAAAGCTGGTAAACGCAGTCTTGATTCTATACAGTACACAGAGTATATCAAAAGCATTATAATACCTATTAGAAACGAGGGAGTGATTTATCAAAATTTGTCGTTACTTTCAGGACGTCCTTCTAACACAACTAAAGTCTATATTGAGTATAGAAGCTAGTAAAGTATTTTCTAATAGAAAATCATCGGCTGCCATTCACGTTCGCACGAGAGCTATCCAAAGTCTGAGGGGCTGCTCTCGCGTCTCTTCTCTGCGTCCTTCTTGAACTTGAAGACGGTGTTGGCGTATCTGTAGTACAGCTTTCCCTGAGGCTTCTTGCCGCCAACCCCCGTCCGTCGCATGAAATACGTGCTCTGCGAGTGGAAAACAGATGGTCAGTTTTCTTGTCTTGATAGAGAATGCCTCTCAATTGGGTTAGGAATCTTTCTTTCTGAGATCACAACTCCTTTTGCAGCACCTTTTCTAACGCTTTCCACCTGTTGTCCATTGGAACAATCGTGTCCCACAGTATTTGAGTGGTTTTCTGCGAATGCCGAGGCATTTTTGCAGAAGACAAGGATTAAAAACAGCCCCAGGGAGCCGAAAACTCACCTCGTTTTCCGTGGGGAAGAGCTTCACGATCTCGCGCGCGTAGTAGGCCATCTCGTTGGAGGTCATCTTCTGGCGCGAGGCCATGTGAAAGTCCACGATCACATGGCACAGGTACAGCTGCTCGGAGCTGGTGAGTGAGTGGTCCTTCTCGTAGGACGACAGCAGCTTGATGCCCTTCATCGTGTTTCGCAGCAGCTCGCGAAGGTTGAAGATGCCCAGCGCCGGGTGCAGGCTCACGGGGATCGGCGTGAGCGTGCGTGACTCCATGGAGTTCTGCGGTGAGTACTTGGGCGACTCGCCGTGCGTCAGGTCCAGGCAGTTCATGCTCATAGTCTCTTGAGGCATCGAAGTAATCTGCAGAGGAACGGGGAGGGCGACAAATGAAAGAAGCTTGGCTTCGCCAGCAGACTTACACCATTGTGTTCCTTCCACATGCTGAGGCACTCTCTGAACAGGATCTTCTCGCCCAGGCGCGTGTCCTCGTTGAACACCACGTCGATGTCCGAGGACTTCATCAGCTTGAGGTGGACAATCTTGGCGATGCCGCAGTACAAGAGACGCTCCACGGTGCGCGGCTGAAGGCCCCAAGATTGCAGCACTTTCAGCGACTCCGTGTCATCGTCCATCAGGAACATGTTATCCTCGTCGTTCATGTTGCCGTGCAAGCACTACCGTGCCGCCTGAACCCGGGTTTTCATCCAATTTCCCGGATTTTCACCCAGAAAATCACAAATTTCGCCCTCACGCAATAAAAAATCTTACCACAAACAATTCACTTTGACATGCAACTTATGCTGCAAGCGGAAGAAACGCTGCACAAGCTTCATGAAAAATGCATGCTTTTGGGCGGTAAAAAATTGGAGAATTATTAATTATTGATTTTTCTTACTCCCGGTCAGAATCAAATGTGTCTTATTTTGAGGGTTTAATGAGTTCAATTCAATTTATTATAAATTTACAAAACAAATTAGTAATATTGAACGAATTCTCAGTTACAAATGTTTTCATACAAGCATTTTACTGAATTTGAGGCACATCTTGAAAATTTCTTTAGTCGGTAATTCCTCATATTGAATATAATTAACAGCAATTCGTGGGTTTATTTCATGTCAATAGAGAGTGGCACTGAAAGTGAATCAGTTTTTCTTATGAGCTCAGAACGTCAAATCAGTGTGCGAAGACAAGGAACGGAATAGTGGCAGTCTTGGTTTTTTTGATTTGAAGATGTTGTATCTCCATTGGACATGCAGATTTGAGTTCAGAGAATTCTGTATTTCTCAAGTGAGGCACACTTGCGTCAAAAGTGCATAATAATTCGTGCCATTCTGATGGGCTCAGTGATCTTCCTGGCACGGGTTCAATTGGTATCATGCGCACAATCACCAAGTCAAAGTCCCAATTCAATTTGCTCCTTCGCACGATCGATGTTGGCACATGCCTGGACGTCGAAGGGACGTCAGAGCCAAAGAGCAACGCGGATCCATTAGCTTTGGTATTGATCTGCCTGAGTGAGCAGGATGTGATCTTCGCCTCTTGACCCTTGCGAGCGATGAAGGCGAATCCGAGCAAGGATTGCACGCGCGCAGTCTTGAAAACAGTCTTCAATTCCAGAGCTGGGAATTCCAATATTTCAGGACTAGAGGAACAACACGGAAGCAACTGTCCGTCAGGGATTTCCAGGTTTGTCGCATTGCTCACGAAGTCATTCAGCCTCAGACTGTGATTGAATTTAGCACAGGATTTCACGTCTCCTCTGATTGTGAGGGAAATGTTTGAGATTTCGTTTGGTGTGAGCATTTCCGGATATTTGGCCAGGATTTCCAGGAACCACTCAATCTTCATGGCCGGGAAGCTGATCATGTAAAACACATCGCCCAATATTGTGCGCAAATTCCTTGGCACGGGAGGAATCTTCGCCTTTCGGCAAGCGTTTGTCGCCCACTTCATCAGCGCATCGAAGAGTTCCATTTCGTCGCACTGCAGACTTTCCAGCCTCACAATCGGCATCAGAGCTTCCACAGGAAGTTCAGTGAAGACCTTCATGACCTCCCGATCTTGGAGGAGGAGTGAGAAGTTGTGTGCGATGAGAGACAAAACTCTCAGCTTAAGAACTGATTTGGAATCCGTCATCAGCGGCATTATTTTGCTGTATAGCTCAACGCACGTCTTCTTGGTCATGTTTGTGATGAGATGCTCTTCGCAGACTTTCTGCAGATGCTTCATCTCGAATCTCTGGGCCAACTTGAAGATGTCGAAGACATTCCCAGCGTCCAGAGAAACCTTTTGGGTGTAGCAATACTTCAGGAAGCCCAAGAAAGCGTCTTGAGAAACGTCTTCGATCACCAATTCGTCCTTGTCGAGCTTCAGGTTGTTGAAGACGTTGTAGAACACCCAACTGCACGTACTCAATATGAGCTTGTGACCAGGAATTCGGCACTTCTCCCTGCCGACCAAGAAAACCATGTCCGAGAGGAATTCATTGGAAGAAAGAAGTGACATCCTGCCTTCGAGGCTCTCGATACTTTCGCTCCAAATCTCTGTCGTATTTGGGACCGAAGCTGTGGCCATTCTATGAAATAAAGTGCTTAAATACATTCTGAACATCGTAAGAGTGATTGGAGCCGGAAAAATACCTGAAATCCGCTTATTTTCCTGATTATAAAGCCGCTAATAACACACAAACACATCGACCGCGTTCTTTGACAATCAGCTGACGCGTTCTACAAACATTTCCACAAAAACCCTGCAAAGGGGAACGTTTCAAAATAATATAATTTATCACTTCAAGAATATTTTAGATATTTTCTTATTTCATAAAGCCGAAAAATACAAATATCACTCCCAAGATCACATCTCATTCCAATTCTCTTAATTTATTTGATGCATTTATGAAATACACAAAATCACTCACAAAACATTTGAGACGTTTCCCAAACATTCAAAATCTGGGACCAACGTACTTTTGCACGCATATATTTGCCTCAGCCTCAATCTTCCTTTGCGCCACATAGCGATCCCAGAGGAATCTGATGGGGAAGAAGTAGAAGAGTTCCGTGAGGCTGAGCACGGACAAGCCCATGAACAGCCCAAGAATGCCACCACAACTGGCCAGAAACTCTGTCAGGCCGTACAATTCGGAGCGCTGCAGAGGAATGAAAGTGGTTTGCAGAAAATAAATCCTGATGAGGATCTCATCGAGTTGCGACCTGTTCTTCTGCCATAGATTCATCTTGTGCTGAATCAAGTCGAATTTGTAGTTAATGGACGTGCATTCCGGAAGGCAGTCGCATGTTGAGACATCCTCCACGCCCTTGTTCTTCATGATACCGTTGTCCTGCTCTCGAAGAACTTTCTGGAAACAGGACAGAGATCCCTTTCCGCAGAGTTGTACGCTGTCGTTGTCTGAAAGCATTGGGAAATCTCAGGACAAGAGTTTTATAGCCAAATTTGGAAGTACATTGGATTCTCCTTGTATGAATGTCAAGACGTTAATCTAAAGATTGATGGGGAAAATACAGACTCACGCGGCATCTGGAAGAAGACGCAACCGCAATGCTCAAGAGTGCGATTTGTCAAGCACTCCATTCGACAGTTTCTCTCGTTGTAAATGGTGAAGTGCTGAAGATACTTTTCGCCGGGAAAGAAGCATCGCCTCTCATGCGGACTGTATCTCTCCAGTTCAGGAGAAGTGAGGATCATTTTGGGATGAACCGCCACTCGGCTGTACTGCTCGAGACTTATCGCCCGATAGCGCTCTGACATGAAGGGCACTTCTGCGGGACCGTGGAGCTGGATGAGCGCGCCTGTTCCCATGGGAAAGCATATCAGGTCTGCGTCGCTGTAGTTGAACTTCAAGCGAATGGTGAAGCCGAAGAGTGGCATGACCTGAAACACTCTCAGCGGATAAGTTTCATTGAGGCTAGCGTAGCCACGAGACACGGTCCAGTTGCTCATCTCGGTGTTTGAGTTGTGAACTTGAGAAGGAACAACACTTGGCTCACGGTAGATTTGCCGGAAGTTCAGCGCATTGAAGGTGTAGCATCTGAAGAGAACGAAAAGAAAGATTTAAGAAGAACCGTAAATCGTTTAAATTATCCGCAAACGAAGGAGATTTCCGTTATACGAAAAACTTTTGTGAAAATAAATCATTGAAATTTAGAGACCTAAGATAATATGTGACATATAATAAGTGTAAAATTAGGAAAGAAGATTTAATAAAATTATTTTGGATCCTTTGTTGCTATCTACCTGCCATGCTTGGTGAATATTTCTTGATAATAATCTCGACAAGAGTTGTTCCTCGTTATAAAGTTGCAATGAGCAAACATGCTGTCCGGATCTTGCTGATAATATCTCAGTGTATCGTAGATTTTGGTGGAGTTTGTCACTTTCGTGAAGTAATCTGGTGAGAAACCGTTCTCACAGATTTGAGACACATCGTCAAAATGATCCCAATTGAGTGGCGAATGTCCTTTCATTTGATACTCAGCCATAGTGCTTGTGTAGTTAATCCGTGCAGACTGAAAGCGAGCCATTGAGCAGATTGTGAAGGCCGGAAAAGGGATCTGCGAGATGTGAATGGCGTGACTGCCCAGAGTGAAGGCGATGGCATGCTTCGACCACTTAATCCACGAGCTGGAAATCATCCTGCCACTCATAACCAAGGACACCACAATAAGCACTATCCAGAGGAATCTCTCCCAATACGGTCTGTATCTGTCTGCCCAGTAAATCACACCGTGCACTGACGACTTCTTGCAGTACTCCATCAGCAGCCTCATCCGGTACGCCTTCCGAAACACTTCCGCGAGCTTCATGGTGCCAAATGCAACTGCTGACGGTTTTGCTGAGCGTGCTCAATAAACCAATAGTCAATGAAGTAATTAATAGTGTTGAGTGAGAGGTAATTGCTGGCATTACAGCACGCAATGCCTAATCAGGACTGTGAGTTGTAAAATCACAGTTTTAAAATGCCTCCTTTGCTCTACGATAGCGAGAATGGCGAGAATGATGTGGATTGACAATGAAAAGATTTTGTCGTCCCTTATAACCGGTGATTGGACGCTTTTGATGCCCAGGTGGGAGTTGAAACCAACGAACAGTACCAAAGTAGATTAACTCCACCAGACTAAGTACAGAAATTCCCATGAAGAGTCCCAGAAAACCTCCGACGCTTGATATAAAGTCCGTCTGGCCGAAGAGTTCGGATCTCTGCATGGCGTAGAATTTGTTCTCGTTGAAATAGATCATAACGTAGATGTGGAACTTTTTAGTGCTGGGATCGCTGAACCTCTCATCAACCGTAGCCAAGGCGTCGTAATCAATAGCACTGTGCGTAAGATCGGTGTTGTAGGTTAGACTGACGCAGCCTGGCATGCAGTTGCAGATCGGAGGTGTGAAGTTAACCACGGCATCAGGTCTATCTATAAGAATAAGACTCTGTTCGAGGCAACTCTTGGCGCTGGGACCACAAATCGGAACGCTGCTGTTCCCTGTAAACGAGAAATACTTAACAAGATGACCAGAAAACATGAAAACTTTACCATACGAGGCATGTAGAAATAAACGCAACCGCAGAAAACCAAGGTCCAGTTGGCCAAACACTCCATCTTGCAGTTCCTCTCGCTGTAGATCTGGAAGTGTTGCAGCTGTCGTTCGCTGTTAAAGTAGCACTGTCTCTGCTCAGGTGGATAGTTCTCAATGTTCCGTGGTGTGTTGATCAGGCCAGGCTCGACGGCGATCTGCGCAAAACGATCGACTGGAATGAACACGGAGTGTTCATCCATTTGCGGAATGTCGCTTGGACTGTGAAACTGAAGTTGATAACCAACAGTGTTCATGCAAGCTGTGTCTACATCTTTCTTGGGAATCTGTAGGATTAGAGAAAGTCCACTTTCCTGGCGAATGTTCGACACACGACGTGGATAGAATTCATGATGATCAGCGAAGCCAGTTTCAACTGACCAATTGACTTGCACGTTCAGAGGCGAAGATTCATTTTGCTGACTAAAGATGCAATCAGGCTGTCGAGATAGAATTTTTTTCAATTCTACTTAATTAGGCAGTAATTAACTATTGAAATTCGTACAATTCATCTAGTTAAAAAAAATTCATGTTTTGATAGGGGTTCAAGGAACTTATGAGCTCTTCCTTTCGTCTTTTGCGACTTTTCAACCAACCTTATAGATATTTTCCAGAGGAAGACGGTTAAAGGTGTAGCAAAGTCCTTGAGAGGTGAAGCTTTCATAGAAGCTTTCCGCTGTATTCAGCTTATCATCACAAAAAGTCACCGTCTTTATCATATCATCCTCATTGGGACTAAATCGGCGGACTGTATCCAGAATATTGTCATCCAAATTTCCCGGCAAAGGATCATAAGTTTCACAAAGTTGTCCTAAGTTTCTGTAAATCTCCCGCCACTGCTTGTACTTGTCCGGATTTGCTGTGTACTTTGCAAATGAGAAGGATTCACTGCGGAACTTCACGGTGGAGCAAATGGTCAGAGCAGGGAAGGGAATCTGAGTGATGTGGACGGCTTTCTCGGCGAAGGTCACTGCCAAAGGACTATTGTTGAGCTTCGTCCACGCTCTCTCGATCATCTTGCCGCAAGCGAACAGCGACAGGACGAAGAGGGCGATCCAGAGAACCCTCTCCCATACTGGTCGATCCTTCTCTGCGAAGTACTTCACGCCGTGAACGGACGACTTTTCACAGTACTCCCGAAAGACGTGCTTCGCCTTTATCTTCTTGAATTTCACAGGGGATTTTCTTGGTTTCATCCACGAATCGCCGCGATGGGACTTTCTCGAGTAATCTATCATTTTTCTCACAGGAGACAAACAAGGGGAAAATAAGGTCTTGTTCGTTGGGAAAATCCTCACAAACTGATGATATTTCCCACGAATAAAACAATCATGCAGAGTGTCAAGTTATTTTAATGAATTTTTAATGAATTGCATGATGTTTAACATGAAACGATGTCATTTAGAGCTCTGATGGCGCACAAATGCAAAGGGAGGCTTTTACAGAATTCGCACGATATTTCTACAATGTCTGTTCTTCCTTCTACATTGTATTGTTGAAGCAGTTATTCATGGAATTCTTGCCACGAGTCGCGAGGACAATTCATCTGTGATTCTGTAGCAAATTCATCAGGTTTTCATTTTACTTCCTGGCTCAATGACTATAATGTTGGCTGATTCGTTTCTCATCAGTATCGGACTGTATTTCATTGCAATATTGAATATTTTTCGTGACATGATAAAGCATTTGAACAGTGAGGAAATTGAAAATAGGGACAAGTTCGTAAAGGAAATTTATGTCTTTCATCGTGACATTTTGCAGAAGTTTAATCAATTCAACGATGTATGCTACTTTCCGCTGTCTTTTGCCATCGCATCAGGTGCTCTGTTGGTGTTCTTTGGCGTGTTTGTCATTCAAATGCACCACACAATTGATATTTTGGCAGTTGTTATCTGTACTATGGCGCATTTCGCTATGCACTGTTTGTTCGGTGAATTCATCTTTTCAAAGAGTGAGAGTCTTTTCCTTGATTTTTACATGACAAAATGGTATGAATTCGCAAATGTCGATCAGAAAGCATTACTCATGATGATGCGAATGTCCAAAACGCCTTTTGGGCTAAAAGCTTTTCCTTTTTTTTAAAAGTTTTTCCTTTGCTGCCATTGTTTGGTCATTCACTTAAACTCTTGGGGAATTTACTGCACCTGAAAAATGTCTTGCTTTGTATTGATTTTTTTTTTACTGAATGAAGTTTTACCCGTCATTATAATTTCATTGATATTCTGTGCAGAGTAAAATTCTACTTTGAAGTATTGCTCAATTAATGGCACTCTTGAAAATGTGTTCGATTCAGCGAATGGCGTGCATTTGAACAGCAAAATGGGTCGGGAAAAATACAGCGTATTTCCATAGACACATTTGCTAACTATTTCATCCATTCGCGGCCAATTTTCGCCCCAGCAAAAAGTGCGACCTTCGCACAAACCCAAAAAACGTGTCACAATTCCCTACTGAAAATTTTTCACAGACACGTGAAGTTGGGAAAAAAGAGAGATCCACTTTGTCAAGCAAACATTGTAATCAGGCCAATTAATTATGAAATGATTGACGACGTGTGGGGAAAAAGTCTCCAACATGAGCACAGAAGAATTATACAGTGTTTCAAAGATCCCGACCAGAATTTATGATCTTCAGCAGATGATGGCAATTGGGAAAGATCTTCTATCAATTTTATTGCCCAAAATATACAGAACAAAATGAAAAACACATGGACACACGAATTAATTTATCGCCATTGAGGATTTGACGGAAAATCGAGGGGAAAATAGCGTGGAAAATACTTCACATTTTTCCCACAGATGATTGACTTCATCCATAGATAATTTCATACGTGAAAAGAATTTTTCCGGTGCCGGACTTTTCATGATGTTGTGAAAATTTTCAAGAGCTCTCTTGTTAATTGCTGTGGGTAAAAATTCTTGAATTATTGGCTGAAATCATGCAAATCGTGAATGAAATGTTATTCTTCAATGCACTTGAGAGTATCCATTTATCCAATATGTTGCTTAACAAATTTAATTAAAATAAAGTGCATTGCACGAGGATAAACTTTAAGTATATTATTAAGCTTTTTATTATGAGAACTAATGATACAATCTTTACAATCTTTTTTAGAGAGTTGTATATTGTGAAATTAACCTTCTAAAATGCTGCTTCTTCTGCAAATCGATGGAAGATTTATAGAACTGTTCAGAAATGTATTGGAAAATGTTACTTACTCAATGAAATAAAATACTCTTTCATCCAAAATGCTTTTCTTCGCCCCTCGACGATAGCGCAGTCACTCTCAAGAGGCGGAATATTTCACGGTCCATCCACGACGCAAGGTCATTGTCGAAAAATAGCCAGTGTCGCGGTGAAAAACCCAAATTGGGGGTGGCAAAGATGGGGTGAACATTGTCAAAGTGCTGCGTGAGCTTTGCATTCTCCAGTGGCATCATTGAAATGGAAATTGAGGCATTTGGGAAATTAGCTGGTGCGAATTGTCCAGGGATCACACAGTGAAAATGTCGAGAGGAGTGGTGACTTTTCCAGCCAGGGCTTCTCAATTTCCTCCGCTTTGTGGCATTTTCTAGGAAATCGCACCAGTGAAAAGCGGAACATGGTGTGTTGAGAAGTGTTGATGTGGCGAATGACTGGGAAAGGCATGTGTTTGCCATTTTTCCTCAATTAGCCAGACATATAAAAGCGGGAAGAGATCTCTTGGTTGTCTCAGTTCACTGACGAACGCAGCGTGATCGGGAGTGAAAGAGTGTTTCGTGCGTGAGTGAAAATGATGAGGAAATCTCATTCGCCGCAGGTGTACAAGAAGGACTTGCAGCCGAGAGTGTCGCTCGATGTGGGGAACAAACATGAGACGGATTCACTCACGATGAGCGACGCCCCGACGGAGGTCGAGATGAGGCGCAGGATTAAGTACGGCAGACCACTGGCGGCGGCCTGGGGGCTGTTCTCGGAGTACTGCAACAACAGCACAATCCACGGTGTCAAGTATCTCGGCGAGAGACGGCGTCCGTGGATGGAGAGAGCTTGGGTAATGTCTGAAAATTCATCATTTGACCAATTGAAACTCTCATTGAATATTGAAGATTCCTACAAAGTGCCAATTTCAGCTCTTCTTGGCTGTATTTTCTTGGAATTTTTTAATTGAATTATACTTATCGTTCACAGAGTCAATTAGATTCATTCTTCTAAATAAAATATAATCCATTGGGTCAAGGGAGAGATAATTTGTCCACAAGGTGTACATTCACGAGTTTTTCTAATTAATTCTTGGGTTGTGACTCAAAATGCAGTGATCAAACCAGTTCAGATCTTTTAAAAAGCAAATCTTGGGATATTGATATCGTATTTTGTTGTAATGAGCTTAGAATTAATACCAAGAAAACAGAAAAAAAAATTCTTTAGATCCAAAATTGGATTAGATTTAGAGATTACTTCTTCTGTACAATTGCGTTAAGCAATTTTTACCATTTTTTCTTTTCTCCATTCTTCAGTGGGTGATTGTGTTCGTCCTTTCCATTTACGGCTGTAGTCGATTAATCTGGAATGTGTGGAATAAGTGGGATCAGAGTCCTGTTATTGTGAGCTTCGCGGAAAAATCCACACCAGTTTGGCAAATTCCCTTCCCGGCCGTCACAATTTGCCCCGAGACGAAGAGCAAAAGGGAGTTCCTCAACTACACCGAAGTCTACCATCTCTTCCGCTCGTCAGAGCCAGAGTACAACTTGACTGACGAACAGTAAGTATGCAAAAAATTACTCTTTCTGCTCGACTTCTTGGTGCCAATTTTTCCCACCGTATGAAATGGAGCGCGAAATGATAAGAGGTGATTGTAGAAAGTTCCTCTTCTTTGCAGGATTGCAAAGTTCGAGGCAGTGTCTCAAGTGTGCGACGCTCATCTCGTGGCGGACACGAAAATTGGGGATAATACAACTGACCAGAGGTGTGCGGAGTATCTGAGGGAAATGGCACCAACAGCTGAGGAAATACTCTTCTTCTGCAAGTGGCGAAATACTCCAGACACTTGCGCGGATCTCTTCACGGACATCCTTACGGAGGAAGGCTTCTGCTACACCTTCAATGCCCTCAATTCTTCGGACATCTACAGAGAGTCGGCCATGCACGAGAACTTTGTCTATCATACACACAACAAGACGGCAGAGTTCTGGTCGCTGGAGAATGGTTACACGCCCGAAGCGTCTCTCACGCCTTTCCCAGTGCGTGTTCTTGGAGCAGGAGCCAGAGCTGGGCTGTTCATCCTGTTGCGCCTCTACGAATACGACTTGGACTACATTTGTCGCGGCCCTGTGCAGGGCTTCAAAATCCTGCTTCACACTCCCGGCGAAATTCCGCAGGTGTCCAAGCAGTACTTCAGAGTGCCTCTCAATCAAGAAGTTGTGGTTTCAGTGAAGCCCAACATGATCACGACATCGGACGGACTACGAGACTACTCGCCCAATAGGTAAGTTTGAAGAAAGCGCATCAGAAGAAGCATCAAAGTTCAGAATGAATAACTTTTCTTGGTGGCTACTATTGAAGTTTCTGTTCATTAATTAATTTTGCACTTTCGATGAATAAATACCAAACTCAAGTGCACCGGAATGCATTAGGTAATTGCACTGTGATTTCATAAGAAAAGTCTCTTAAATTCTCTCTCTCCCTCTTCTGACTTCTGAGATACAAATAAATTTCCATGAATTCAACTTGTGAAGATTGTAAGCAATACCAATGAATTCTAATTACTCTTGAGGCAAGAAATTGTCTGTACATTGAGAGGAACTTTATTGCACATTTTCCATGAAATAAGGGTGTACAAAGTCGATTTATTTCATAGTCAATTTCAAGAGATTCTTTGATGCTTCTGTTTAATTGACAATGTAAGACAAAAAGCTCACATTTGAATCTTGTCTATCTTCTCACTTTTGATTTTTGATTGATTTTTGTCCGTATTTTACGTTCTTTTTTCCTGGTCTGTTTTTGTTGTTCTTTTTTCTCTCTCTTCGTCTGTATCGCGATTTCCTTTTTCCCGTCTTTCCACCAAATGTGAAAGGCGCCAGTGCTTCTTCAATCACGAGCGCTACTTGCGCTACTTCAAGATCTACACGCAGCAGAATTGCGAACTCGAGTGCCTGTCGAACTACACACTGAGCCAGTGCGGGTGCGTGAAGTTCTCAATGCCGAGAGATGTGAATACGCCGATTTGCGGAGCGTCCAAGATTGGGTGCTACAACGATGCTGAGGACCAGCTGCTGCAGCGGGAGATCAAAGAGGGTCTTCAGGACTCAAGGCTAAACGTCAAAGGCCAAACGCAATGCAATTGTTTGCCAGCGTGCACATCAATTGTTTACGACGCTGAGATTTCTCAGGCAGACTTTGATTGGGAGAGCCTCTTCGTAGCCTATAAAAGTCCACTGGATGAGTTTCCCGGGTGAGAAAGCAAACAATTATTTAGTTAATTTGAATTTTCCGACAAAATTCAGCTATATTTATTGGCCACACCTTAGAAAGCACTCTTATGGGTGGGGCATTCAGAGGGGCGTGGCTTAAGGGAATACATTTATACATTGGCTTGACCTTCTATAGTATAAAGTTTAAGGTGGGACATCACGAAATCGCAGACTCAATGTGCATCTTACAGAATATCCGACATTATTTCCTTGCATGATCGAAGACAGATAAGGATTCTTTCAAAAATAAGAAACTTACGAAAATTTCTTTCAGTGTTCAACTCGCTCGCTTGTCCATCTTCTTCAAGGAAACGCAGTTTATCACATCCAAACGCTCCGAACTATATGGCCCAACAGACTTTTTGGCCAATTGTGGAGGTCTTCTTGGACTCTTCATGGGTGTTTCACTCCTCAGCATCGTGGAGATTGTTTACTTCTGCACAATTCGTTTGATTTGCAATCTGAGAACGCGCAAAAGTCGAAAAGCGTCAATTGGCAACAATCCGGGAATTGTTGTTGTCACACCGAGCAAAATTCACGCAGATGTCCACGATACTAAGTAAAAGTCACAACATTTCACTTGCATTGTCACACACACGCTTGCGAATAAAGAGATTATATGAGTCATGGAAAGTTGCGTGTGACTCGCACGCGACCTTTGGTGTGCGTCTCTGCTGAATCTTCACGATTGCTCTTGAAACTGGGTCATTAAATGCAAATTAGGAATTAAAAGTCAGTTCTTGAGCTCATTCCTTCTGCGCTGGAAGTCACATAAAAATATTTATTCCTGCAATTTCCACTCGGAAACCTTTTTCCCGGACAGCAAATTCGTTCTCATGCGAAAGGTGAGAAAAATGCATCAAAGAGATGCAGGAAAAACATCCCTCTGGCAAATGTTTACAGAGTTCTCTTACTTTTTCGGGTAATTGCTAATTTATTTGATACACAAATTGGAGCTGAAAAATTGCTGTAATACTAATGATTTCAGTGTGAAAGTTACGACTTTGCATTATGTCGTAGCGTTAAAGTTTCCATCACACATTTCGGGATTTCGTACAATGGCTTGAGAAAATTGTGTATTGAATATGTCGCACATCCTCAATGGGTTTTTCTCCACGGCGAAACACTCTCAGTTATTTCCAACTTCGTATCGCATTCCGAATATAAAATTGAAATGTAAATTGGAAGATTGTTTTGTAATGTTCCTCGAGGGGAGCAAATATGGTAAAAAATGGGCGGGAATATAATATCAATGCGATGGGAATGCTTCAGAATTTTCTCATTCGTGTTTTCGCGGAAGTTTACCTCAGAGGCTAATTTCTGTGTTGTTGCCAATGAATAAACGGAAGTGATATCTATACACAGAATTGGAATATTGCACTTTTTGACTCATCGCCAAAATTCATCGATTTGTGAGATATGGCAAAAGCTCTAAAGCTTAGCGTTGAGAGAGACGATAAATAAAGCCAGTTACAACATTCAGAGCCTTCATCTTCAATAAATCATCAACATTTCGTTCTTGTCCACATGGAATTTATTCGCTCAACAGTCTGAAATTGTTTCACACAAATATTTGGTCGTTCTCCTGAATAATATCCTCTCGCTCTCCCTCTCTCAAGCCGAATAGATTTCCCACCGAACAATTCACTGGCAACAGCGGGAATTTTGGATGAGGAAAAGGGACACGAGGAAAATTGAATATCCTCACCATGGGGATTAATTCAAATAGAATAAATGCTGATAAATGACCAAATTGGCGATTCCTCACATCCCTTTTCGCCCCTTCGGAGATGTGGAACTGAAATAGAGAAGCTGCTGCAGAAGAAATGACTTTGGGCTGGAAAACAATCCACCTACGAAGCACAGAGAGATTGGAAATGTCAGAAGTCACTTCTAAAATTGTTCTTTCACTCTGGTGGAAAACTGATCCTTTTATACTCAGACAAATAATGCATTGCTACACAGAGAATTCCCGGATCAACTGCACAAGGCTCTCGTAGCCACATGTTATGAATCCTAGCAAGGCAATCAGCACAATGAGGATGTTTTTCATCAGTACTCCAGCTCTGAGTCCTTTATTGGTCTCCCATTTGCAAAGCAAATCGATTAGAGGTGGGAAAATCAGAGCCAGAGCAGTTGAAAGTACAGCTCCGATTAGGGAAATGAAGAGACTCAATTTGGGAACAAACTTTGCAATCAACACTGAAAGAATGACATTAATTTCATATATCACTCAAGATTACTAAATCATTTAAGATTCAAACTGCAACTCACTTGTTATTATTATCAGGGCTACTCTGAAGATACGTTCACCAAGGAGAAGAGAAGAAACTCTCAGCTTATCCTTAACAATTGGCCACATTATTTCAACAGCCACGAAGAACATCAAGTGATATCCAAATAAAATTCCCAGGCAAATGAGAGCTTTTGCAGCTTGCGCCAATGGATCATTTAGTGGTAAATTCAAACTGAGACTTCCCTCTACTGCCTCGCCATACTTCAGATAGCCCAAGACGCCCATTCCTCCCAGCAAACTCGTGACCAAGATCATCCCTATGTTGAGAACTCCTGCCGGGCGGTAGAAATCTCGGGGCACTTTCATGGAGTTTTGCAGCGGCAGCACAAGAGCGATGCCTTCAAAAGCATACAAGTTCGTGCCGAAGAAGAGTGGCAACGTCTTCCAAGACCCCACGAAGTTTCGCTCAGAAGGATTCGGCAGGTCGTCCAGAAGGAAGAACAAAGTAATGCAAGTGCAGAGCATGATACAAATGGAGCCGAGAAGAGAAAACGGCACCAGAACTCTAAGGTTAGTTATCAGATTGATGAGAAGTATCGGTGTGCAGCAAATTATCAGATTCCAATATTCGTTGATCGGGATGTTGTATTGGTTCCAAATCTTGAACAGAGAGAATTATATCAAGTTAAACAGTGTGTTGTGATGAATAATATGGCATTACGCGAACCTGCTGCAAGTTTGTGGTGATGAAGACGATTATGACGCAACAGAAGCTCAATTGACTGACGCATATGAAGATGTTGACGGTGATTCCCATTCCCTTGGACCAGAATCTTAGACTTTCCGGTCCATTGGCAAAGCATAGCTCAACGGTTTTTGCATAGTCCGGAGTGGAATCGAGTCCACTCTGGTTTCGAACCTTTCTTGAGCACCGCAGGAGAATATGCTGGCAATGCACGCAAACTGTTGCAATGATGAGTGTTAGACAAGGTCCAAGGATAATACCGCCATTCTTCATAGCATCTCCCATTGCGTATAATCCTGAACCAATATTGGACTTGAAGAGATGCACAAGTGTTTCGTGATACAGTAAATTTGAGCCATGTTCCTTTTGTTCTGCAACAATTGGTTTGAGGAGTTTAAATACTATCACAAGCTTCTTCATGTCAGAAACGACATGGGGGACAAAAGAAAGCGTATCTGGCAAATTTGCGTGAACAAGTGACTGTAAAAAACGTGTAGAGTGAAATTGTTCAGTCTTTGAGGTAAACAGCTGTGGAAAAGTTTCATTTAATACTTTTTTCGTACAAATTTTGTGCGATACGTGATGTGCAGCATATTTCAAATTTTTAATGAGGCTTTCAAGTGTCCTCAAAATACAGAAATTTCAGTAGAATATCGTTGCAGAATTCTTAACATATAAAATCACCTCTTTCATTAGAACTACACGCAGTTGTTTCAACTCGAGTCATTTCAACGTTTGTCATTTTCTATTCTACGTTTTAGATGTAATCTAAGATATTTCACTTAATTCTTCCAACCTTTTGGAACTTTAAACACTGACTAAAACATTACTGCTTTAGTCAAAGTCTTACGACTTAATTAAGAAGCATTTTATAGTCATTTTTTTTTTATAAGAAGAAGACTATTAAATTTTGTTTGTAAACTCTTAATTATAGTTGCGTTATATATAGCGTAATTCTCATTTCAAGTTCAGTTACTCAGAGTGTGCTTTGCTGTGGAATTCTCTGACTCTGGGAAATATTTCGAGTGATGAACAATCTTGGCATGATTTTATCAACACAACATCGAGTGAAGAAGTATTTTTATCAAACACTATTGAATGAACTTTTGCCTCCGATGGAGTTAATTGCAAAACTTCCCTGCACAAGAGTGTAAATTCTGTGCTCATACGAAGCTCACTATTTTCTGAAAATGATTCGCGACACAATCTGCAGGTCTTTGTGAATGAAAACACCTCACGCTTCAGGTTATTCGAACTATAACATGCGTTGGGAAAAAGTTTACAATAGATTGTGACGAAAGTTCTATAACACTAATGATCTCATATTGAAAAACTCCAATGGAAGCGAATGGTGGAAATGATTTCGTCGTGATGATAGAATGAATGAATGTGAAAAAGCTGTGGAAATGTAATCCGAGTCGTATTCAACTGTCTCTGCATGACATTACTCAGATAATTTTTTTTTAAGAATTCACCGCAGGATTTATTAATTAGTTTTGCAAATAAATTCACAGCATGTGATCATGTGCATAGGCCATATTTAGTGGTTGCGAAAGCTTGTGAGATATGAATTGAATCCAACAGTGACTTCTTATTCCATCCATTTACTATTTTTCATCTCTCACAGAACTCTTTGCATACTATGTTATTTGCAAAGTTGTTGATAAGAATGAGAATTGAATCTCTTAAGGATTCTTTCGCAAGAAATTAATAAGGTTGAGTAAGGGTGGAAAAGACCAAAAGGGGAGTCTGATTAAATATTTTTTGTCTCATTCTCACATTTAACTTGATGCGGTAATTTTTTAACCAAATAACGCTACGATTTCTGTTCTGCAAAAGTTACTTTTGCGGTGAACTTTTCTATGAAAACAGAAAGTTGTACAAACATAAGAGTGTAGATATATGAATAAGTGGATTTTGCGGTTGCAGTGAATTGATAATTGCTGGCCATAGAGGAAAGTTTTAATCCCATAAAGTTCACTATTATATATAAAAATGGAGTGGAAGTGAATTGTTAGTGAAATTCTCTTGAAGTTTTGACACAAAGGGAGAAGCGAAATGTCTCATTTCGAGAGAAATGCCGTGAAAATTGCTGTTTTGTCAGCCTGGAATTCTCTGTTGAGCACTTGGATGGTGATATTTTGCAGTGTTGGAACATATTCAGGGCAGTCTGAGTCGATAAATGGCTGAAAAGGGTGCAAAACCGCTCATTCAATTGAGCTTCGGACGCCTATTCATCGTTGTTGTTAGGGATTCGTAGCGTGGAATGGAGAGCGGCGACAATGATGCTGCCACTTTCAAATGGCCATTCTCTGAGACGGAAATTGATTAGTGTGTTTGCCAATGGCGCCAAAGAGCCTTCATTTTGTCAATCTCCCAAGTGACTTGCTCGTGATGAGACTCCTTCGCCACTAAACACCCTAATTTGCCATCCTTAATCTTCTCGTCGAGTGATTGAAGGTACCGCAGTTCGTCCTTAAGTGCCTTCACTCTGCATCGACAAAGGCATCGCACTGAGGAGATCATTTTGCCTTAGATTCTTCCATCTATAATGTCTATTGTCGCACATTAGTGAACTATCTTTCACTACAAATTGATCTCAAATTTTAGTTTCACACAGAATATGATCTGATCAATAGGTGATAATATCACTTATTGCAATCCTGCAAAGAATACATCTGAAAATAATATTTTACCTGCACAATTCGTCACCAAGTGTCTCAGCTTTTTTCCATAGAAATCAACGGCCATAAAAAATACGCTTTCATGAGTTCTGAACAAGTAAGAATGAAGGATGAGGAGGGAATAAAGTCGCACAAGACGCTGTCAGTGAATATAATTCCTCACAATGGTCCAAAGCATTGCGAAGTGGCGACGATTGATTGCTTGAGCTATTGCCGTCAATTTCAATGGGCGAGAGAGCTTTTCTGCAAGAGTGACACAAATTATAATTAATTCATTCACTCCACCGCAGTGAACATTTTTCCAATTGCCTCAAATTGAAAGGCTCACTCTAAACGCTTAATTTGAGGGCACACCATCGATGACAGCGTGTGTGAATCATCTGCGGCGTATAATTGAAGTGCAGGAGGACTTACCAAAGATTATCGTTCATTGCAGATGGTAATTTTTCATTTTTATCACACCATCGGGCGTGTCATCGAAAAATACTATGGTTTTTGTCCGCGCACACCACGTTTTCCTTTGTGTGCCACCAATCACGCCAGTCAGGAGTGAGATATGCGCGGTTAAACAGAGCTTTTATGCTCCTGAATGGAAAGAAGAGTTTGTCTTTTGTGCATTAACGCTTGTAACAAGCGCTGTGCAAAATAATTGACTCAATTCAACTTTGCGAAACTGATCATAAAATCTACAGCATTTTTTTTTTAATAAATTACAAACTGAAAAAATTAGAAGTTCATCATATCATATCATATCAAGTAAAAATAGAGTATTTATATCATTTTAAGTTTATGTTAGCCTTTCAAAGTAAATTAGTAAATTTTTTTGCAGAAAACTAACGCACTTTGGTCAATGTTTCACTGCTTCTGCTTATTTGTTTTAAAATTGCTATGAAATAAGTTATATTTTTATTGTAAAATTTAACATCTTACTTAATAAAATATCGATACAGTGTTAATTAAAGCCAAATATTGTATATGTGAGCAGAAAACCTGAAGAGAAGATAGGCGATGTTTCAGAGATTTTGCATCCCTAAGTGTGCGAATTGTTGTAGAGAAATTAGCAAGTTAAGTCACGCAACTCGGAGGATTACGACTTTTCATGAAGTTCACAATGTGAAGTGAATGTCTAAATCCACCCCAGACATTCTCGAGCTCCACACAATCCTCCAAGTGGCGGATTGTATTCGCAAATATGGAAACTAAAGAGGTGGCTCGGCTAATTGGTGCTCTTGCCTCTCCGGGAACAATTCCATTGAGAGCGCGAGCTTTCGGTGCAGGCAACCAATTATGCCACGTACAGTTAGGAGAGTCTCCTTGTGCGGATGATCTTGAAACTCCCCATGAAACTGGTGAAGCGAAAGAAGTGGGTTGAATCACTCAATTTTGTCAAGATTTTGCTGAATTACACTAATCTTACGTGGAATTTCAGCAACTACAGCACTGCGCATCTCTTGAAAATGCCGGGAAAATATACCGTGTTCAAACCGCACGAGAGGGGGAATTAAATGATTCAATTGGCTGAACTCTGGCAGTGGAGATTTCCATTACATATGACTTGTGCGCCACAATTCTGCTGATTCTTGTACAACGTGAGATATTTGTCAAATATAATGCTCAATGTTCCGGCTTCGCTGTGTGGTTGTAAAATTCCCCCAAATAGTGGCTAAATTTTGTCAACAGTCTCTACATATAAATTAATTTTTTACACCATATCGAAAACTCATGCAGAAACTAATAGCAATTACGATGACATAAATCGATGGCATTAAACACAACAGACGACTATTAGTCGTATGCAAATTGATGCTGTAATAAAATCGACGAATTTGGTTTCCATATGATCTTCCCACAAAAAGCGAAAGCAAAATACGCCAGTTAATTCTGGTTGGCATTAGAAGATTGTCTTGTAAGTCTTCATGACAGTTACAAGAAGAGACATCACAATTCTACCGGATCTCGCGTGGTTTTTCCAAAACATTACAGCGCGCTTCTCTCAATTCCAATGTCAGTGAACCTCAAGTATCGTAATTATACCTCTCAGTGTTCACACATTATATTCGCCTCAAGATTCGCCTCCACGTGCGTCGTCTGGCAGACGGCAAAAAACAAACACAAATCCATCAAAACAACAGCAATAAACTTGAGCATTTTCCTACGTCATTCCACGAAGTGCCGGAAAATTCGCAATCTGTATCATACAATAAATCACCGAGCAAAGGAATTCACGTGCGGAAGGAAATTACCGATAAGTGAATCACGGAAAAAGTACAGACAAAAGTGCAAAATTCCACACAAAGCAATGGCGAATACCATGACCTTCCTTCAAGGTAATCCGGTGAATTAGGTGTGAATAATTGGGGAACGAGTATTCTTTCCCACACCGTCCATCGTCTTCTTCACTATATAAACATCCGACCATTCGGGCTTCATCCCAAAAATCAACAAGAGTCCCAAGTGTAAGCATATCCACTTGATAGCTTGAAGATGAAGGCATTTATCTGCCTTTGTGTGCTCGTTGTGGCAGTGCAGTGCGTGCCTCTTCCGAAGGAACAGCCAAAAGGATCAGTGACGAAATTCACACCGGTTGCAGTGAGTGAAACTGTTGCAATAATACTAGAGAAAGTGCTGAGAAAGTGAATTAATTTGAGGCGAAATATATTCAAGATAAAAAGTTTTGCGAAATCAGTTGAAACCAGTACAAATTTTTATTCCCAGAATTAAAGTTTTTTGTAGTTC